ACAAAATTAACTCTTTAAAGACCAAAGTCAGCATCCTGAATTGAAACTGGAAGCAGTGGGTACAAGACTAGTACAACATTATACAAACTTGAAGGTAATGAATGCAAAATCAAGTGCACAAGATTGTCACAATAAAGTAGGAACACAACAATGAAACAGGTAAAATAATTGGGCCAAATTATCTACATTTTCAGAGGCAGCCTTCACAAGCTTTAAGGGTAAACCCTATGGCCCCAAGGGTGGTATCAACATGAGTCAGGACACACACAAACACTTGAAATTGAATCCAGACAAGACAAAGGTACTCCTGGTCAGTCATAAGGCCAAACAGGGTATAGGGTTACAACCTGTGCTAGACAGGGTTGCACTCCTCCTGAAGACACAGGTTCACCGCTTGGGAGTCTTCCTGGACTCATCGCTGAGCCTGGAACCCCAGGTTTCGGTGGTAGCCAGGAGAGCTTTCACACAATCGAAACTTGTGCATCAGCTGTGCCCATACCTTGAGAAGTCAGACTTGACCACGATGGTCCACGCTCTTGTTACATCCCCATATAGACTACTGCAATGTGCTCCACATGTGGTTGTCTTTGAAGACTGATTGGAAGCTTCAAGCAGTCCAACTGGCGGCAGCCAGATTGCTCACTGGAGAGGTGTACAGGGAGCTTACAACCTCCGTTGCGTCAGCTCTTCTGGCTGCCTTTTTTCTACCGAGCACAATTCAAAGTGCTGGCTTTAGCCTATAAAGTCCTAAACGGTTCTGGCCCAGTTTACCTGTCCGAACATATCTCCTTCTATGAACATTCTTAGAGATTAATATTCTTCTGGGGAGGCCCTGCTCTCAGTCCCACCACTTTCACAGGTGGGGACAAGAGACAGGGCCTTTTCAGTGGTGGTCCCTCGGCTATGGAACTCTCCCTTCAGTGAAATCAGGTTAGCCCCTTCCCTCCTGACCTTCAGAAAGAAATTGAAGACATGGCCCTGGGACCAAAACCTTGGGTAGAAGCGCAGTGCAATAAGAGAAGATGGAATATGTGCAACCATGATTGGAACGGCCTTGACTATGATTTCAGACTGTGTGGTTTTAATCATTGTTTTTAATGTTTACATTGCTTTTTTTAATTTTAAAGTTTATAATGTACATGTTGATTTTATTATTGTTTGTTTGATAAGGCATCGAATTGTTGCCTATTGTTAAGGCTGCTCAGTGTCCCCTTTAGGGTTGAGAAGACAGGGTACAAATACAGCAAATTAATTAATTAATTAATTAATATTACACACGGAAAGGCAATCGTGCCAAAAGAAGTGTATCTACACTGTAGAAATAATGCAATTTGACACCACTTTAACTGCCATGGTTCAACTCTATGGAATCCTGGAAGTTGTAGTTTGGTGAGGCACCAGCACTCCTTGTTGGAAAAGGCCCAAGGCTTTGTACAATACAACTCCCATTATTCAATAGCATGGATCTACAACAATTACAGCAATGTCAAACTGCATTAATTCTACAGTGAAGATACACTGGCAGATCTAACATAGATTGATCTGTTTGAGAATTTCATATTTTTTGCATTGGAGATGGAGACCAGATCTGTCTGAGAATTTATTTTATTAGATTTTATTTGCATTTAACATGGTGTCAAGATGTGAATAGATTCATAAAGGAGGCAGTGGGACCAACCAGAATCATACCATCGGAACAGATGTTGCTTCTGTTCTCAGCAGCTGTTATACACACAGAGATAGTGCACAATACCTAATCAAACGGCAGAATGCACAAACTTCAATAGTTCAACAGGAAATATTGCCATCTAGCGCACAATGAGCAGAAAGCCACCAATAACACTATGCAACATCTTTTTTTGTTCCTGGGTTATAAATGCCATTTCCAATTTGATGCTATCATGAAAACGTGGAAAAAGTTTATTACACTGCAAAACCTTTGTTTTTTGTGCGACATCCTGCAGCACATTTTGCTATCGTTTTTCAATGAATATCTCATAGAGTCTCAACCAATTCAACATAGTTTGCAGCAGCCACAAAAATGAAGTTTCTGGAGTATAGCAACTACTTTCAAAGTAAGAACCACACAATTAAACAGGAATAACACTTTCAAACCAGGAACAGATTTTTTTTTCCAAATTTTGTTACATAGTGTAATCTCCTTTCAGATCTTTTTTTGCCAGCTGCCTTAACTGATTTCTTGCAGAGTTTTGGAAATTAAGTCGCTATGGTCCACAAAGCACTGCACAGCTTTGTTTATCCATAGCATACATATGCACCTACACACATACCCTATTTTAATGCAAGCCATCACAACTGTGATCCTCCAGCTTTTGGGCTGCAATTTCCCATAACCTTTGGTTGTGATGGCTAAAGCTGATAAAAATGGTTAGCCGAAAACACTGTTGTCCACACCTGCTAATATGAACTAAGTACGTTTCTAAGTTTGAAACATGGACTTAAGAAAAGTAGAATTTTTGTTTTCCGCAAATGTAAAGGACAATCATTCTACAATACTATATAGAGATGTTGGAGATTGCAACCTTCTCAAGCCTCCTCTATTTAATGCAGTGGCTCCCAACCTTTGTGCCTCCAGGTGATTTGGACTTCAGCTTCCACAGTTTCTAACAGCTGGTAAGCTGGCTGGGATTTCTGGGAGTTGATGTCTAAATCACATGGAGGCCCAAAGATTGGGAATCACTGATTTAATAATTTGCCTGTTTATAAAGTGTTCTTTTATTTCCTGAAGTGTATGTCTTCTTTGGTTTGCATTTTCTTTAACTCTATGTACTTGAGGCAGTGGGAGGGGCTGCAGATCATGTGACTGTTTAGAATGCAGTTGAAAGAAATGACAGTTAAGGAATGATAATTGAGTCTTGAGTCAGCTTGAGTATAGAAGTATTTTGGAGCACAGAAGCAGTGTAGGAAGTTGGAAAACTGTTGAGGCTTGCATTCCTTTGAAAGTAGACTGTTATGAAAAGAGAACTGTACAGAGCAATAGATGTAGTTTTTGAAGAGACTGTTAAAGACTATAAGTTAAAAGATACAAATAAACATTGTGCCTGTATATTTGCATACATGATGTTCTGAGGAAAACAAATACATTATTTTAAAAGAGGTCTACTTGAATCTTTGTCTGCTGAGAGCATCGAATAGAAACAAGATATTTATGTAATCATCCATTACCCAATAAACTAAAGGAACACTTCTGTAACTCTGCTACCCAATAGGTCATAATTCCTAATAGGTTATGAACTTAACAGATCATAGTCATTTATCCCAATAAGAGGGGTGTCTACACTGTAGAACTGACACCACTTTAACATGACTCAGTGCTATGGAATTATGAATGTTGTAGTCTGAGCGTCTTGAGCCTCCTCTGCCAGAGTGCCAGTGTCTCACCCAACTACAACTTCTAAGATTTGATAGGGTCAATGGAGCTTGAAAAGCCAGTGGATCTTAAAAAGCTTGCAGGGTGCATTTCAGTTGACCAATAAAATAGAGCTCTTTTATGGGTTTGCACTTTTTATTGAAATTTCTGGAAAGCCACACATTCCTCCTTGCTGCACTGATCCTCCATAAATTATCTGCAAAAATAACAAAGGTAACCCCCCAAACCATTGAGACTTGCAAAATCTTTATTTCCTTCTTTCCTTATTTTCCTTCCTTTTCCCTTCTTTTCCCTCCCTCTTCCTTCTTTCTTTCCTCCCTTCCCCCTTCCTATCCCCCTCCATTCCTTCCTTCCTCTTTTCTTCCTTGTTTCCCTTCCCCCTTCCCATCCATGTCTTCCTTCCTTCCTTTCGTTTCTTTTCCTTCTTTCCCCACCTCTTTTCCTTTCTTATGTTTCCTCCCTTTCCTTTCTTTTCCTCCCTCCTTCCATTTGTTCTTTCCCTCCTGTTCGTTTCTTTCCTTTTCTCTCACCTCCCTCTCTTCCTTTCCCTTCTTTATTTCCTTCCTTTTCCTTATCCCCCTCCTTCTTTTCCCTTTCTTTCCCTTCCTTTGCCCTCCCTCCCTTTGCCGCTCTTCCTCCCTATCCCTCCACCCCGTTCTTTTCTTTTTCCCTTTCCTTCCTTCCTTTTCCTTTCCCCCCTCTTACTTTCTCCTCCTTCCTTTGCCTTCTTTCCTTCCTTCCCTTTCCCTCCTTCCTTTTCCTTTCTGAACTTCCTTTCCCTTCTATTCCCTCTTACTTTCTCCTCCTTCCTTTGCCTTCTTTCCTTCCTTCCCTTTCCCTCCTTCCTTTTCCTTTCTGTCCTTCCTTTCCYTTCTATTCCCTCTTACTTTCACCTTCCTTTGCCTTCTTTCCTTCCCCTTCCCTCCCTCCTTTTCCTTTCCTCTCCCTTCTTTTTCCTCTTACATTCTCCTTCTTATTTTCCTTCTTTTCTTTCTTTCCTTCCCCTTCCCTCTCTTCCTTTTATTTCCTTCCTTTTCCTTTCCCTCTTACTTTCTCTTCCTTCCTTTCCCTCCTTTTCTTTCTTTCCTTCCTTCCCCTTCTCTCCCTCCTTTTCCTTTCCCTTATTTTCCCTCTTACTTTCTCCTTCTTCACTTGCCTTCTTTCCTTCTTTCCCTTTCCCTCCTTTCCTTCCTTTCTTCCCCTTCTTTTCCCTCTTACTTTATCCTCCTTCCTTTCCCTTATTTCTTTCCTTCCTTTCCCTCTCTCCCTCCTTTTCCTTTCCCTTCTTTTCCATCTTACTTTCTCCTCCTTCCTTTCCCTTCTTTCCTTCATTCCCTTTCCCTCCTTTCCCTTTCCTTCCTTCCCCTTCTTGTCCCTCTTACGTTCTTCTTTTGCCTTCTTTCCTTCCCTCCCTTCCCCTTCCCTCCCTCCCTCCTTTTCCTTTCCTTCCTTCTTCATCCCAGACCCAGTTCATTTAAAGCACTATTTCCCAAACTCTGGTCTTCCAGGTGTTCTGAACTCCATCTCCCAGAATCCTTGGCCATTGGCCACAGCAACGGAGGCTTCTGGGAATTGAAGTCCCACCCGCTTTGGCGGCGCCCCGTTTAAGAACCGAGATGCCAGCCCAGGGCAAGGCGTTTGTCGGCCGCTGGAGTGGAGATCCACCCGGAAACGAGCCCCGTGGTGGCCGACACGTGTCTTTCCCGGTTCGTGGGCGGAGGCTGCGCGTCCACGGAAGCGGTAGGCGGTGAGTGGGGAACAAAGCGGGGCGGGACGCAGGCGCGCGGACCCAAAGGGGAACTGGAGTGGAGGGGGGCGCGCGGGTGGGAGCAGGGAATCCCAGGAGAACGGCAAAGGCGGCGCTATTTTACGTGTCCGAGAGGTTGGCACGCAGTCGATCGTGTGAATGGAAGTACAAGTGTCACAGGGAGTTGCGTGTCTGCAGGGAAGCCCCATTTACCTGTGCATTCCTGCTGCTGTTCTCTCAACATGGGCGCAGACAACAGAGGACAAAGCGGCTATGAGCCCATAGATCAGGCATGGGCAAACTTGGGCCTCCCTCTAGGTGTTTTGGACTTCAACTCCCACCATTCCTAACAGCCTCAGGCCCTTTCCTTTTCCCCCTCAGCCGCTTAAGCGGCTGAGGGGGAAGAGGAAGGGGCCTGAGGCTGTTAGGAATGGTGGGAGTTGAAGCCCAAAACACCTAGAGGGAGGCCCAAGTTTGCCCATGCCTGATCTTATATATAATCATGACCAAGTTTAAATACTCTCAGCACACCATTAAAAGTCTATCCCAGGCATTTTTTCTAGTTGAATATATGTCTTGTGATGGAAGAACTTCCTGACCCTATGAACACTTCAACAATGGAACTCCCTGCTTCAGAATGTGGTAGAAGCTCTTTCCTTGGAAGCTTTAGGCTGAATGGCAATCTGTCAGGGATACTTTGATTGTGCTTTTCCTGCATGGCAGTGAGTCGAATAGATTACTGCAGCGCACTCTACTTGGGTTGCCTTTGAAGACTGTTCGAAAACTCCAACCAGTCCAACTGGGGGCAGCCAGATTACTCACTGGAGTACCATATAGGGAGCATGCCACCCCCCACCCCACATTATGTCAACTCCACTGGCTGCCGGTCCATTTCTGAGCACAATTCAAAGTGCTGGTCTTGGCCTATAAAACCCTATACAGCTCCAGCCCAGCTTACCTGTCTGAACATATCTCCTTCTACGTTCCACCTCATAGTTTAAGATCAACTGGGGAGGCCCTGCTCTCGGTCCCACCAGCTTCGCAAATGCATCTGTTGGAGACGAGGGACAGGGCCTTCTCAGTAGTGACCCCCTACCTGTGGAATTCACACCCCAGCGAGATCAGGTTGGCTCCATCCTCCTTTCCTTTAGGGAAAAAACCTGAAATCATGGTTTTGGAACCAGGCCTTTGGCCAGTAGGCAAGATAGCAGTTTGGACATCGAACTGGACTATAAGACTGTGATAATAATGGAAATGACTACATGACTGTGATAATAATGTTTAATTGTTTTTAATCTATTGTTCTACAGTATTTATTGTTTTATATTGCTGTTACTTGTTATATTTGTGGCAGTGTAATCTGCTCTGAGTCCCCCCACCCCCACCCCCCAGGTAGAAATGTTGTAAATAAATAAATAGATGGCCCATGTGGTCTCTTCCAACTCTATTATTCTATGACATTATGTCCCATTTTCCTCTTCTCCTTTTATGAAAGGTGGAGGCTCCTTCTTTGGAGGCTTTTAAACAGAGACCAGATGGCCATCTGTCAGGGGTGCTTTGAATGCAGTTTTCCTGCTTCTTGGCAGGGGGTTGGACTGGACGGCCCACGAGGTCTCTTCCAACTCTATGATTGTAGGAGTCTATGGCTAGTCAGCCATGTGGTCAACTGTTATCTGGAGCTGTGGTCATCATACTCATCCCTTACTCTCCTGTTATCCTTTGAAGTATTTTTTTAAAATCTTACACAAAGTAATATAGACTCCTTAGAGCTCCTAATCTGTGTAATTCAGTTATGGAATCCTTGTAATATTTCATAGTTGGTAGAAATATGAGAAATAAACAAAGCAGCTGAATAAAACTACTGTATTCTTGACTGTCCATATCCAGAGACTCTTGGTAACATTTTTTCATTCTCCATCGAAATCTTTGGTGGATGTGTATTCAGTCTAGGTTTGAAGTGTACCTGACTCGCAGGCTGGATTTACACTGCCGTATAATCCAGATTATCAAATAAAATAATCCAGATTATCAAATAAACAAATCCAGATTATCAAATAAAATAATCCAGATTATCAAATAAACAAATCCAGATTATCAAATAAAATAATCCAGACTATCTGCTTTGAACTGTATTGTCTGAGTCTACACTGCCATAGATCCAGCCCTAGTGAGCTAAAAAAAATTCTGCAAACTGACTGCCTCCAGAGCAAGTCAATCCATATATTTAGATCCACTGGGGAGGCCCTGCTCTTGGTCCCACCAACCTCGCAAACGCGTCTGGCAGGGACAGGGCCTTCTTGGTGGTGACCCCTGCTTGTGGAACTTGCTTCCCAGCAAGATTAGCTCAGCGTCCTCCCTCCTTTCCTTTAGGAAAGAACTGAAATCATAGGCCTTTAGCTAGCAGACATAATGGCACTTTGGATATTAAACTGGACCATATGATTGTTATAATTAATGGAAACGGCTATATGATTGTATAATTAATGTTATTGTTTTTAATCTATTGTGTACTGTATAATTAATGTTATTGTTTTTAATCTATTGTGTATTTATGGTTTTTATATTGTTGTTCATTGTGATATAGTGGCATCGAATTGTTGCCAGTGTTAGCTGCTCTGAGTCTTCCCTTGGGGGTTGAGAAGGGCGGGGTAAAAATGTTGTAAATAAATAATAATAAATAAATTTTAACATCATTTTATTTATTATTTATTTACTATATTTATATCCCACCTTTCTCAACCCTGAAGAGGACCCAAGGCAGCTTACAGTGTAGGCAACAGTTCAATACCTTAAAAATAATATACCTCCAATATACAATTAAATTATCATTTCAATTAAAAATTTAAATGAGATTAAGAGTATTAAATCATACAAAACATTGCAATTACAACTATAAAACCACATTATCTGCAGTCATTATAGAGAACACTATCAACTGCCAAGAGAGAAACATTGTTTAAATCTTTGCAAGGTTGGCCTGTTTCATTTTCAGTTTTCAATATTATGTAATGGATACTGATATACTCATGGTTGTATCCTTTCAGGTCAATATGGGATTCATCTTTTCAAAGTCGATGAATGAAAACCTGAAGAGTCAACAGGAGTTCATGTTGATGAACTCTCGACTTCAGGTGGGTTCTTATAATGGAACATTTATTAGTGTGGTGATTGTAGAATCTCATGTATAAGCTGAGGGTAGGTTTGGGGGCCAAAATTACAGATCCTTGATGTAACTGTTGGACAAATCAAGGTTCATTCGTGAAGAAAGGGAAGCCCAGTGTCAATTCAGAAGGCCTTTTCCTGGCCAGGCATCAAAAAAGCCAGAAAGGCATTACAGTGTAGACCAGGCCTGGGCAAACCGGCTGTTAGGAACTGTGAAGTCCAAAACACCTGGAGGGCCAGAGTTTGCCCAGGCTTGGTGTAGCCAGTAAAGGAAGTCAGCGTAAGTCTCATAAAACAGCACTGTTATACTTAGATTAGGGCAGTGTTGTGATAAATTACTGGCAATCTGTGCCTGGTGATCTGTCTTATCTACTTCTTGTACACATGGGCATGATCTTTGTGCAGCTTTCTGAGTAAAATGCAGATAATAAACCCTTCTCTCCAGTTTAACACACAAAGGAAAAAGGGGCGTGGAAGTATAACTTGCATCGACTGTTGAATGAGGGTCACCAGTTCAGAGAAAGGAAGGCAAGACCCAGGCGAATGTTTATGAGCCTGTAAAATAACCCTGAGAATTTTTATTAGGTTTGTCTTCAGCTTTTCCTCCGAGGAGGTTAGCTCTGCCAGAACCAATTTGAGTTAGGATAGGCTGGCTGTTCCAAGGCCGTAGAGTGAGTATCAAAAGTATTGGATATGTGACAACTAAAACCACTTACATCAGTGGAATATTATCCTGTAAATATGTGGTGGGTTAGGTAATTTTTAGACTTTCTAACGTTTTAAGGGTGTGTGTTTGTGTATGACGTGTATTCGTTTTGTAACCCCAAAATGTGGTGAGCCAGCCCTGCAGCATTTGGGGTCCCTCCTGCTCATTTTGTGTAAATGTTACATCGAGAATAGACTACTGCAATGCACTCTACATGGAGTTGCCTTTGAAGACTGTTCAAGTGTCCAACAGGGAGCAACCAGACTGCTCGCTGGAGCATCATACAGGGAGCACACAACCCCACTGTTGCGTCAGCTCCACTGGCTGCCAGTTTGCTATCGAGCACAATTCAAAATGCTGGCTTTACCCTATAAAGCCCTAAACAGTTCTGGCCAAGTTTCCCCGTCAGAACATATCTCCCTCTATGAGCCAGCTATGAGGTTAAGATCTTCTGGGGAGACCCTGCTCTCGGTCCCACCTCCTTTGCAGGTGCGGTTGGCTGGTACGAGAGACATTGCTATTAAATGTAATTTGGGGAATTAAGGTTCAAAATAGATACTTCAAACTTGGCTGAAGTGCACCATTGATTTGGAAAAGTTTCTTGAAATCTGGGTTATTGTAGGTTTTTTCGAGCTATATGGCCATGTTCTAGAGTTCCTACAGACCTCAAACCTCTGAGGATGCTTGCCATAGATGCAGGTGAAACGTCAGGAGAGAATGCCTCTAGAACATGGCCATATAGCCCGAAAAAACCTACAACAACCCAGTAATTCCGGCCATGAAAGCCTTCGACAATTTCTTGAAATCATTTCCTCCAGATAGTTTTGGGGCTGGATCTATTGGAAGCAGTGGCCTACCTCTGTCTATAATGGTATATTTCTGTTTATCTAACACCAGTGGAATTTATTTATTTATTTATTTGCAGTATTTATATTTCCCCCTTCTCATCCCGAAAGGAACTCGGGGCAGATCACAGAACGTACATATGCAGCAAACATTCAGTGCCATTTCATATACAATTAGACAGACAATTACGGTATACATAGAGAGGAGGTATATCTATCAACTTGCCCAATCTTTCCGGCATCTTGGAAGGTATTGTGCTCAATTCCGGCCACTGGGGGGGGGGGGGTGCTGTCACTCGATCTTCCTGCCAAAGAGCTAGTTTGTAACTTTCTCCTTTGCATTGAATGAGCAGTACCTATTTGTCTAATCACGTTTTTGCTTTTGAATTGCTAGATGGGCAGGAGCTGGGCTAAGGCCCTGGCTCTCACCCTGACCCAGCTTCGAACTTGCAGCCTTTCGACTGCCAAGATTGACTACAGCTGGTGTTTAACCTGCTGTGTTAAAGCTGGCTCTTGATCAGGTTTTCTTCCCCTCTGATTCTCACTGCAGTCTTCTATATAACAAAATGCCTTCTTCAGAGCACATACAACCCTACAACAGGTTTTTGAATGAAGGGGGATTACAAGAAAGAATGATCTCTCATCCTGGTGGAAGCATGGAGAGCCAGTAGAAGTACCCCATATACTTGTTGAGGACTTGGAGGGACTTAAGTTAGTAATGAGTCCAGTGAACCCTCTACATTTGATGGGATTGGACCACAGGTCCCCTAAAAAAATGAAAGCCAACAGATCAAAAATTGCTATTTTTTAGGTAAGAGAACACCTCTAGAAATATCTAGGCTCTCCAGCACGACTCCATGGTCAACTGCCCCTCAAAGTTGACTAAATACAATCACACTGGAAAACCAAGAGATTCCTAGTGGGCCAGGCTTTAGCACAGCTGGTTAATCACCAACAGTAATAAGATCACACTAATCAAAAGGTTGGCTTTCATGTAGGGCAGCAAGGAATTCCACAAGGCAGGGGCAGAAATAGAAAAAGCCCTGTGTCTGGTCCTTTCCAAGTGCACTTCTCTAGGACCCGGTATATGGAGTAAGTCACGTTGGACTGGTCGTTGCCACCTCCGATGATGGGAGAAGGAGAGGCGATCCCTAAGGTACGATGGACCCTGGCCGTAAAGAGTTTTAAAGGTCAGAACTAGCATCTTATACAGGCCACGGTACTCAGTTGGAAGCCAATGTAAATGTTGCAGCACTGGTGTTATATGGCATTTCATGGGCGTTCCTGTGAGTAACCTGGCTGCCGCATTCTGAACAATACAAAGCTTTCGGGTCGTAGACATCGGAAGGCCCACATACAGGGCGTTGCAATAGTATATGTTCTGTAATCTGCCCTGAGTCCCCTTCAGGGTGAGAAGGGCAGAATATAAATGCTGTAAATAAATAATAAAATAAATAGAAGGGTGTTCTATGTCTTCCAGCATGAATCTGTAATCCTTTTCCAGCAGAATTTGGCCATAGAGTTTCCCAAATCCTTAAAAGTCAAATCTGTAAATGTGGAGGGACAACTGTACTATTTTACATTTGGTTCATTGTTCAATTCCAAGTATGATTGACTCTAAATTCAGCCTAAAAGTAATTTTTCTGAGATGTCTGGAATTTATTAAATTAGATTTCTGGCTGCAATTTTTTAAACTGTGCCCATCTTGTTCAATAGGCTTTGTTAATAGTCACACAAGGATTTTCACTTGGGTTATGATTAAACAAAGCTATATTTCAGCTGTAAGTACGATAGAAGACGTGCCAATTAATAGTTTCCCATTTCCTGACTCTCTGAACCCTGTTACGAGTAATTACCCTGGTTTCACACATAGCTGTCAGTAGACAGTGGCAGTCTTCTAATGGTGGGGAATGAAACTTTTGACATAGATGTGTGTATGTGTCCTGTGAAATTTAAAACAAATTTCCTGAGGAAATGGAAATATCTAATTTCCTGTCAATAGATTCTCATAGCTAACTGTCTGACAGAAATGTAAGAAGGTGAATGCAAATGTGGATAACAAACATATTTTACAGCTTTTCTCACAACCTTTGTGTTACTGTTGTTCTTACTTTCTTACCAACGCCCACACATTTGGTGAACTGGACAGTATTGCTTCCCCTTTTCCATTAATTTCTCCTTTGTTGGAAAGGAATATATATTATTAATATATAATGCAATAATAATTTTGGACAAGATTTTTCAAACCCACCTCTGGACATTGTTTAGAACAGTGGTTCCCGGTCTTTTTTTTTATTTTATTTTTTAACCAGGGACCACTTGACCAAGAATCACTCTCCAACATTAGTACCAATAGGGTTACGAATCTGTTTTTGGTCAATTTTAGATTTGGTTTGGTTATTTGGGGTGAAATTTGGTTATTTGGGGTGGTTATTTGGGGTGGTTTGGTTATTTGGGGTGGTTATTTGGGGTGGTTTGGTTATTGGGGTGAAATTAGTGCTGATGTGGTGTATTGGATTGAATAGACCACATCAGCTCTAATTTCTGATATAGAGCATATGCCATGTAGTCACCACCTGCTCGCCCAGAGAAAACCATATTTAACAATCTAGAGCTGATGTGGTAATACTAATCTTTCATGGGTAGTCAGCCTCTCCCCTCCTGATATCCCCGGCTTAAAGCTAATCTTAAAAACTGTGGCATAGACACCGAGAACTGGGAAACCCTATCCCTTGTGTGCTCTAGTTGGAAGTCAGCTGTGACCAGCAGTGCTGTGGAATTTGAAGGGGCACAAATGGCAGGTGAAAGGGAGAAACATGCCAAGAGGAAGGCGTGTCAAGCCAACCCCAACCGGAACCTCCTTCCACCTGAAAAAGCAATGCCCTCACTGTGGAAGAACATGTGGATCAAGAATAGGGCTCTACAGTCACCTACAAATCTACTGCCAAGACCCTATACTTGGAAGACAATCATACTTGGACAACAAGTGATTGCCTAAGTAAGTGCCTCGGCACTATAAGAGGGTTTTGAAAGACTAGTCACTCTCGTTGCCGCATGGTTTCGAGGCGTGTAGTAATAGTGAGGCTGCGGACCATATTTTCATTCTTGTGGACCACTGGTGGCCCACAGACCACAGGTTGGGAACCACTGGTATAGAAGAATAGAACAAAATAGTTGTTGCAGAAGGCCAAAAGTATTGCTCTTTTCCCCCAGAGCAATAGCTTTACTATTGTGTTGCACATGGTTCACATAGCAGAGATGTTAAGAAACCTTGTTAGCAAATTGCAAAAATATGTTACAGGGCATCAGCAAGAATACCTGATGTGCGTTGGTGCCCAGTGTGCATCAGGATTGATGAACAGTGGGATCAATCTGGTGTGCATATTTTACATTTGTCTCATTATGAAATGGTTCCTTTGTTGACTCTGCTACCCAGAAAGATAACAGCAATTGTCTGCTATACGTGGACATTATGGAACTGCCCAATGCCAATTCCCAGATTTAAAACCATTTATAAAGATCTCATTCCTCAACAGGATTCCGTTTTGGTGGCTACCATTATTCCTGTTATAGTGGTGATGCTTTCAGATCCCTGCCAATAGTGGAAATCAGGGCAGCCATTGATACACTATGTGAAAAGTGTATATATACCTATGTATACAAGTAATTATATTTTCTACCAGTAGTGAAATCCTCTCTTTTTACAGAAGAGTCACTGTATTCACATCTTCTGTTCAAAATATTCTGTTTCCCAGAAATACTTCCAGCAATATGTAAAAAATGTAAGAAAGCTATCATATTTATATTGGTTTTTTTCCCCTTTATACTCAGCTGGAACGGCAGCTCTTGATGCAGAACCAAATGAGAGAGAGGCAGATGGCAATGCAGATTGCTTGGACACGGGAATTTCTCAAGTATTTTGGAGCATTCTCTGGACTTGCTGCTGTGGGTCTAACAGTTGGGTACGTAATGATTACTATTACGGTATTTTATGAACATTTAAGAAATAAGATAATAGTTTTTGTTCTCATTCTTTTGCCCCTTTCCTCCATATTCTCTGATGAAGAGTGCTCTAACTAATAAACATTTACTGAATACATGGCTCACCTTCTACAGTCTATTAGAAATGAAGATTATAAGATATATAAAATTCCTTTATAAGATAAATAAAATAAATAAAGGGGGCATGGTGGCGCAGTGGGTTAAATAACTAAGCTGCAGAACTTGATGACCAGAAGCAATATTCCTGCTTCTTGGCAGGGGGTTGGACTGGATGGCCTATGAGGTCCCTTACAACTCTATGATTCTATGATTCTAAGATTGACGGTTCGAATCCGAAAGACAGGGTGAGCTCCCATTGTTAGCCCCAACTTCTACCAACCTAGCAGTTCGAAAACATGCAAATGTGAATAGATAAAAATAAGGGAAAGGTGGGAAAGTAATGGTGCTCCATACAGTCATGCTGGCCATATGACCTAAGAGGTGTCTATGGGCAATGCTGCTTCTTCAGCTTAGAAATGAGCACTACCCCCTAGAGTCAGACTCAACTAGACTTGATGTCAAGGAGGAATCTTTACCTTTTTAAAATTCCTTGCTTAAATCATGGGCATGTCTAAATACCACATCCCATCTGGTAAGAAACTTAGCAGGTTCAGCCTGGTCAATACATGTATGGGATACCAGGTGCTGCAGGCGACATTTCAAAGTATGGGACTAGCAAAATCACTTGAGTATTCCTTGTCTGAGAAAACCCATTGAAATTCATGAGATTGCCATACATTGACAGATGAGTTAAAAGCACATACATACATATATACATGCATCTCCTTCACTTATTTTTGTGTCTCTCCAAATTTCACCATTTCGATGATCCAGACATACCATCTGAATATCTTTGCCAAATGAACAGAAATAGCAAATGGGAAATATCACTGTTTGAAACAGAAAATTTTCTTTACACTCAATGCAACTCAAAGTGGTGTTTCCTAAACTGGTGTCAGTCCCTGAGCCATTTTCTGTCACATAGGTTTCCAAGAAACAAAGAACAGTAGCAGCCAATGAGCATAAATATGGGGTCAGTGACTGGCATGTTGGAAAGGAATTAATTGCCAGTCCCATGTACTAGATAGCTACTTTTTAAAACTGATATAGCACAATCCCCCTGGCTCAAAATATTTGGTGGGGACACCATAGTTCCTTTAACAAAATTGACAGTGGTCCACCGTGGTGTGAGTTGTAGTCCCCAATCCATTGGGGACACCAAAACTGGGATATCGATGCCAACTTCCTTTGTTAGGTTTGGCAGAAATTTTACCTACACTCTATATATTTCCCATTCTGAATATGTGTAAACTTTGGAGTTTTTAGCATCTGTTGACCAGCTTTGTAGAATACAGATGAGTAAATTTCATTACAATGATGGGGCTTTTTTCTTAGGCCCCATCTACACTGCCTTATAAAATACAGATTATCTGCTTTAAATTGGATTATATCGTAGACTCATATAACACTATGTAACACGATTTTTGTTCCTGGGTTATAAATGTCATTTCCTAATTGGTTTTATCATTTAAAAAATGGAAAAAGTTTATTGAACTGCAAAAACTTTGTTTCGCAGCACATTTTCCTATAGTTTTTCAATGAATATCTCATCGAGTTTCACCCATAGTTTGTGGCAGCCACAAAAACCAAGTTTATAGAGTATAACAACTGCTTTCAAAATAAGTACTGCACAATTAACCAGGAGATAACAATTTTAAGCCAGAAACAAAAAATGATTCAGATTTTCAAATCCAGATCAAAGCAGATATTAATCTGGATTATTATCTGGATTTGATAATCGGGATTATGTGGCAGTGCAGAAGCAGCCTTAGGGCCCTTCCAGACAGCCCTGTATCCCAGCATATCAAGGCAGAAAATCCCACAATATCTGCTTTTAACTGGGTTACTGAGTCCACACTCAGATAATGTGGGATTTTCTTCCTTGATATTCTGGGATATAGGGCGGTGTGTAAGGGCCCCTAGTCTCTGTGTTGAGAATCAGGCCAAAATGGCCCATTTTGCATTCAGTGTTGGTAAGCTCTTTCTGCATAGTTTGTAAAGAAAATAACTGATAGCGTATAAAAACAAAAGATAAGATATATAACAGTTGGATTTTTACACTGCAGTCCAGTCTGGATTCTTTGTGTTCCTAGCTTAATTCTCTGTTGTATTGCACTTGCTGCAAATATTTAGCATGTATCCCTGTCTTATGTCTCGTCATCTTGGTTTTTAAAAACTGGATTGGTGGATGTATAATCTAATTCACTTGGATGTCCTCGTGAGATCTTTTGATACAGGGAAGAACAGCAATATTTTAATAGAAAAATAAAATCAAGTTAGGTATACACCCTAACACTGTAAATATTGCTTGATTAAATAAATCCCCGTAAGAAATGTAAAATCAATCAATATTTTAGACACTCAATTATTTTGCTTTTTAAAAAATGTATTTTCACTGCCTATATGTCTTATGGGGACAGAGCAAGGAACATCCCTATCCAGTTTATGAGAGGGCAGATTGTACATTCTTATTGATACTGTAAACAAAAAAACTATATTTGCAAAAAGCTAATCACACATATCTCTTCACAAGGACAGTCTGCACAGCTAGAATACCAGTGGTAGAGTTGCCCTTTAACTCAGAAAGATTGTAAACACTCTGAGTTGAACCTAGTGAAAAGAAAATTCCCTGTTTCAGACAGTGATATTTCCCATTTATCATTTCTGTTCATTTTTTGTATATTCCGTGAATATGATTAGACATATTTTTGCTGGCAGTTATTTGTATGTATACATATGATTCTGTAAAAATGTGGATACAAAATTAGTGTAAAGAAGTTCTATATTATGTGTATGAAGCTGGCATTGGAAATAGGCCATAATTTTGGTGACAAAAAGAAAAACTTCTATGAATAATACAGTAACATTTGTGATATAGTTGCATCATCTAAAAAGAGTCTTAAATTAACCACTTATTTCTAACATAACCTTGGCAATTCGTTGCATTTGATTCCAGTGTTTCTTTTCATTTGCTTACTAAACAGGGCAATAAAAAGAAAGAAGCCTGCAATGTTTCTTCCAATGGTCCCTTTAGGTTTTGTCTTTGCCTATCAATATGATATGGGTTATGGATCACTCCTGAAAAGAATGAAGTGTAAGTATGTCTATTTACCTTAATGATAGAGGTGGCAACCAAGTGCTTGTGTGTGCAAGTGTCTTCCAGTACCTGTGTTGATTGCTTCCATTAAACAAAACCCAGTGACTTTCAGCTGTAATTGCTTCAAAATAATGCCTGACCCTTGAGTTACTGCCATTTTGATTTCCCACACAGGCTATACACCTCATAGAAGCCTCCTTCTGACTTTCAAAAATTAATGAGGAGGTGCAAGTTGAGGGGAGGGTGGTGGGCTATGGGTGAATGGTGGGCAACAGCATTACTCTGATGGTTTGGTGTTGTAGTTTGAGTGTTGAACTAGGATTTTGGGTCCAAACAGTTTCGAGACTCACTGGGCAACTTTAGGCAGGTCACATACTCTCAGCCTAAGAGGAAGGCAATGGCAAACCTCCTTTGGAGGAAAACTGTTGCACTAGAGCCCTGAAACACTTTTTCACCACAAACCACACTCTGCCCAGGTTAATCCCGTAAGTAAAACTTTATTAAAAAGAGTATTTAAAAATAAGCAAATTTAAAAAGAAGACTCAAAGTCCAAAAAGTTATTTACAAGATAGCCAAGATTCCAAAATCCTTTAAAATACAGTTTCAAGAGTGAACCCACAGATATAGCCATAGACATGATAGCATGAATCCAAGGCAGGCAACCTATGCCACACATGAAACTAGAAACAGGAACAAACTTAGAGACCTGAATACATGAATCCAAAAACATAGGACCAGGGACTGAGAGCTGTTCACCTGAATACAATATTGCTCTCACAAAGGATTGTACCAGCAGAAAACCACTTAAAAAGCCTCAGTCTCTCCCATGACATCATTCCTCACGCACCTGCTTTTCCTCTCCTTATCGCTAAGCCATTGGGAAAAGCGACTCTGTCTCTGTTGTACGTGCTGCCTCCGAAGTTTCAAGCACTTGCTCTGGACAAAGATTCATCTCCCACCTTTCTCTCAGCCTGCACTTCTGGCAGATTCTCATGGGAACTGATATCACTTTCTTCAGTCTCATGGGAACTGCCAGGAGATTTTTAAACAACTCTCTCCAGGCTACTTCCGTCCTCCTCTGGGCCTTCCGAATCTATTCCAGCATCCCCCTCCTCAACTTCTGAGCACTCAGAATCTGACCAGGCTACAACAAAAACCTTGCTAGGAAAACCTTAGCATAGAGTCACCATAATTGAGAATTGACTTAACTTGATTCAATAGCTGAAAAAGCAACAAGAATCCACTCTTTGTTGTGTTTTGGTACAATCAGATGTGAAGAAAGTAGTGGGAAGCTAGGAAAGAAGCAAGGTACGTCCACCTTGAAAGACCAGAAAGTGTCCTAATTCTATAATTCTGTGAAAATCTGGGGCTTTTCAGTCAGCATGGATATACCCTTAGGATGCTGGTGGGAAGGTCAGTGGTGGTGGTCAGTAAAGAAGTCAGAAAATAGGGAAAATGTGAGGAAGAAACAGTGGTCTTGGGAGCACCAGTAAAAGTACACATCCAGAGGAGGTGGGAGCAGCTGGGAGGTAACATTATGTAACACATTTTTTGTTCCTGGGTTATAAATGCCATTTCCTAATTGGTGCTATCATTAAAAAAATGGAAAAGTTTTATTAAACCCACAAAAGCTGTTTTTGTGAAACATCCTGCAGCACATTTTGTTATAGTTTTTCAATAAATACCTCATGGAGTCTCAACCAATTCAACATGGTTTGTGGCAGCCACAAAAACGAAGTTTCTGGAGTATAACAACTACTTTAAAAGTAAGTCCGGCACAAATAAACAGGAAATAACACTTTCAAACCAAGGACATTTTTTTTTCAAATTTTGTCACATAGTGTAATTTTTAATGGGAAGGATGGTTCTATCTTTGAGATGGATGCCTAGCATATTTATTAATATAGTATCCTATAGGGACATAATGTGTAACAAAGCATATGGTAAGCAAATATATGGATAAAAAAGAAACAGTTTGAGGTGGTTCAGGGAGAGGGAGGGAGAGAATGTGTCCATTGGTATGAATTTCAGAGACTAAACTTGAAAGAGGATGTGGTTTTGTATATGTTCAATATGAGGTTTTTGCATGCTTGGGAGGGAAATTAGGAAAGGACAATTTGCTTTTAATTTGTGGTAATTTAATGTAGAAGCAGTCTAGGAAAATGGATTGCTTTCCATGCAAGAGGTCATTTTGTTTGAGTGAAACTCTGGGTCCAAATAAATTCCAGTAATAAATACAACATAAGGATTGGTCACATGCCACGATGGCTGCTTTCCTCATCATACAGCAATTGCATTTTAATCGATGTCAATTGAACTTTTTTAAAAATGCTGATACATAATTAATGTTCTTATACAATTGATGCAAAGGTATACATTTTTCATCTTCCAGGTGAAGCAGAGAACATACTTGACACGGAGAGCACTACACTAGAAATGCCAAAAGGACCCCTTTCGTTTGAAAGCATCGAAAAAGCCAGAAGAGCCCAGAACAAGTTTTTCATTGAAAAGTAGTTTGGCTGCAAACTAATATGTGAAAGAATAAAAAGATGTATTTGTAATTATGTTGCTGATTTGAACTATCTCATCCAGTAATATGTGCATAGTACTTTTTCATCATGACTCGAATGTAATCAAATCACCTGCTTGGCAGAAACAAGAAGCTAGGAGAAGAAATCCAAGTCCTTTTTTATCTTCCAAAAGCTGATTTGCACAATTTTTGATCTTCTTAGAAAAGGGGTTCCATGTGCCATCCCTTATCATGAGATCACAGAAGATAACTACACACTGGGTGGATTGAACAAACCTCTGTTGAATAATATTATCTAAATGCAATGTGTATTGTGAAATAAAACCGATTTAATACAATATAAGTTTAGATGTGCTTATTCTCATTGTTAAAAAGTATTACAAAGCAAAAGGATACATGTCCATTCAAAAGCACTAAAATTGGCTCAGGTCTAAGTGTTGCTCCCCAGTCAGGATTCACCTTGCACTCATAGAATCATAGAATCAAAGAATTGGAAGAGACCTCATGGGCTACCCAGTCCAACCCCCTGCCAAGAAGCAGGAATATTGCATTCAAATCACCCCTGACAGATGCCATCCAGCCTCTGTTTAAAAGCTTCCAAAGAAGGAGCCTCCACCACACTCCGGGGCAGAGAGTTCCACTGCTGAACGGCTCTCATAGTCAGGAAGTTCTTCCTCATGTTCAGATGGAATCTCCTTTCTTGTAGTTTGAAGCCATTGTTCCGCGTCCTAGTCTCCAAGGAAGCAGAAAACAAGCTTGCTCCCTCCTCCCTGTGACTTCCTCTCACATATTTATACATGGCTATCATATCTCCTCTCAGCCTTCTCTTCTTCAGGCTAAACATGCCCAGCTCCTTAAGCCGCTCCTCATCGGGCTTGTTCTCCAGACCCTTGATCATTTTAGTTGCCCTCCTCTGGACACATTCCAGCTTGTCAATATCTCTCTTCAGTTGTGGTGCCCAAAATTGGACACAATATTCCAGGTGTGGTCTAACGAAAGCAGAATAGAGGGGTAGCATGACTTCCCTAGATCTAGACACTATGCTCCTATTGATGCAGGCCAAAATCCCATTGGCTTTTTTTGCCGCCACATCACATTGTTGGCTCATGTTTAACTTGTTGTCCACGAGGACTCCAAGATCTTTTTGACACGTACTGCTCTCGAGCCAGGTGTCCCCCATTCTGTATCTTTGCATTTCATTTTTTCTGCCTAATTTTTTTTTCAACACCAGCCAAAATCCCAAAAGTGGTAATAAAACAGTTTATTAAGAAAAGTACATATAAAAAGGGAAAGCCACAATAAGAAAGAAAGAAAATGTAAATCCAACAGATAATGGGGGAAAACAGTCATCAAACAATCAGCCCAATCCAAACAGACAATAGAAAAAAAAAACACTACAAAGGCAATAATCCAAACAGGTCAAATCTGTGTCATATAACAAGGTACAGGAAAAACCAGGATCAACACAAGAGCATAATCCAGGAAAATAAGAAACCATGAACATTAATCCAAAAGCAAACTTCTTAAAGCATGATTACAAACTTCCAAAATCTAAAACTCAAAATGTGAACTGGAAACTAGGTTTGAGATCCTCACTGCTTCACAGCGTTGCCTGATCTGAATTCCCACAGAAACTGCAAAAATGAAGGCACTCTTTTGACCTTGACTCACTTTCCTGTGGGATTTTTGCTGCTCCTCCTTCTCACAGAGCCTTTGCAATCTTTTCCATTTGCTTGAGTCTTCCCTAAGATCAAGCCTGATCGTTTGAGCACAGGTGTTCCCTTAGGCGAGCTTTCTCGCCCATCCACTTTGTTATCTGGGGTTGCTATGCTACCAGTCTCCTGCATCTCCCTGTCTGCTGGACTCCAGCAGTTTCACTTTCAAGCCTATACTCCCAGACAGAATCTTGCTCTAAAATCCCCTTGGTACCCTCATTGAAAGAACCATCCACCACTCTCCCAGGCTCTGAAATATCAATCCCCTCGTCTTCATCTGGCTGAACCACAACATAACAATAATGGCTACATTGGATAACAATAATGGCTACATTGAAGTGCTTGATCCTGAACAAGAAAATCTTCAAGTGTCCATCTTAGTTCTTAAGGCAGTTGTTCTGAAATTGCAGAATTTCACTCCTCCCTTTTGAGTGTCGTGGGCAGCAAAAGGAGGGAATGGGTACGGATATTGAGCTTGTAAGGAAATTGTTCGACTGGGCGAGACAAAATCCAATCATACTTTTCAAGTAAAGTATGTACAATAAACAATGTAAATAAAAATTAGGATGCAACTTATTATAACATGAAAAATATAATTTGAATTCATGCCATCAAGAAATAAAGATAAGAACTTAATCTAACATTCAGTTCTATCCTTGCATCGTTTATGTTTCTGACATTGGTCTCAGGCACAAGATCTGGAAGACGTCTTGGCAGAGGGAGAGCAGTCTTTATACTGCGTTAATTATAATATTTTATTTTGAGTTAAATTTGAATGTGTGGAGTTATAGGCAGTCCCCAAGTTACAAACAAGATACTTACTATACTTAGGTGATCCCTCATTGTCCGAGTATGATGGCCTTCCAAGCGTAGCATCTTAGAGGTGGATACGTAGGTTACAGTGAAGCCCTATTCTTGAACCACATGTTCTTCCACAGTAAGGCCATCGGTTTCCAGGTGGAAGGCAGTCCCGGTCAGGGTTGACTTGACGTGCCTTCCTCTTGGCACATTTCTCTCCTTCGCCCTCCATTCGTGCCTCTTTAAATTCCACAGCACTGCAGGTCACAACTGACCTCTAGTAAGACCTCTCATGGGCCAGGGCTTCCCAGTTCTTGGTTGTCTTTGCTTTTTCCAGCTCGCTGACATTTGTCTGCCTGTCTTTCCAAGAAATTTGCAGGATTTTTCAGAGGCAACACTGATGGAATCATTGCAGGAGTTGAGTGTGACGTCTGTAGACAGTCCATGTTTCACAGGCGTATAGCAGGGCTGGGAGGATAATAGCTTTATAAACAAGCAACTTGGTCTCCCTACAGATGTCTCGATCCTCAAACACTCTGCTTCATTCAGAAAAATGCTGCACTTGCAGAGTTCAGGTGGTGTTGGATTTCACTGTCAATGTTGACTTTTGTTCAGTAGATTTGTTCTTAAGTTGAATTTGTATGTAAGTTGAATTGGTATGTAAGTCGGAACAGGTACATTTTAAAATTGTAACTCCACTTAATGTGTGTATATACTTAAAGTGTGTGTGTGTAGACACACACACTTTAGACAGCATAGAGAATGTGTAGAAACACTGATTTTATTGTGTGTGATGAAGTCCAAGGATTGGTGATAGCACTTCAGTGGAGAATCCTTTCCCCCAAGATAACTCTTTCAGGAATGCATTTCCCTTCCAGGAGGTACATTTCTCTCACTTCCTGTTGGCTCAACCTTGTTCTTAACTGTGAGTAGTTTGTAAGTCGGATGTTTGTAACTCGGGGACTGCTTGTATATGGTTAATTTTACTGCTTTTCCATCCATTTTAAAAGCTTTTTAGAGTGCTACTACTGGTTTTTTAATCAAAGAGTTGGACGTCCTGTGACAGCAACCACCCAGTTTCACAAGCAAAAGGTTGACAGATTGATTCAGGACGATTGTCGTATCACTCAGAAAGAAATTTCAAGCATAATCAGCATTTCAGAAGAATGTGTGGGTCACATTATTGCTTGGCTTGGCTATCGGAAGATCTGTGCACAATGGGTACGTTGAGAGAACTGTGCTGGTTGCTGAAACAGAGCGTCGACTTCTTCCATGATGGCTTCAGAAAACTTGTTCATCATTGGCGGAAATGCATCCAATTGTCTGGTGATTATGTGGAAAAGTGAATAGTGGTAGTTGAAGAGCACATTCTAAGGATTATTTCTGCATTTGATTTATTAAAATATTCCCATTCAAACCCAAGTAACGAAGGTGGAGGCATTGGATTGTTGTAGGTTTTTGCAGTTCTATCTGTTTCATCTTGCTTACTAGAGTCTGTCCAAAAGTCAAAATCAGACTGCTATATTTCTTAGTTAATCAATTTACTGGTCTGGCCACTTACACATACTATTCCAGTGAAAACAGGGACACTTTTTATTATTTTAGATTTCTAATATGCAATGGCACACCATGCAGTCATGCTGACCACATGACTTTGGAGGTGTCTATGGACAATGCCGGCTCTTTGGCTTAGAAATGGAGATGAGTAACAGTCCCCAGAGTCGGACACGACTGGACTTAATGTCAGGGGAAAACCTTTCCTTCTAGCTTAATATGCAATAACAGTATTTGGATAGGTCCCCCCTCCTCCAATTTAGTCTTTTGCTTTACTGATAAACCATTAGTTGGTAGGATGAAGTAATTGAACAGAGGATTACGAGGAAAGAGGCTATTCTTATATGTTATGAGAACAAGGTGCTTACTTACAGCAGGTGCCCAGGTACACATTATTCACTCTTTCAAAAGAATGAAGTTCAGTTGTCAGGTAACATGCTGTGCTATAAAATTGGATTACATTTGTAATATCCTCACCTCCAGCTTCTTGCTATTATCTACGTCAAAATGTCCAATTAGTAGGCATGACTTCAGTCATACTCTGCCTTCTACTAGTGCTTGGTTCATGCAATAGAAAATAGTAAATTTGAGTCACAAGTCAAAAACAAAGGGATAAAAGTTCCCAAATTACCTGATGTCCAGATAGTGGACTCTAAACATTGCAGATCATTTTGGCAATTTTGTCCCCTTAAAAGAAAAAAAATGTTAGAAAAAGAATGGGAAGTGATGATAAAACATAAGAGTCTTTACAAGATGATATCCAGACAGCGGACACCCTCCATAAAAATTGGTCATTTTTAAAAATCTAATACTTGGTATAAAACTGGGTTGCTGTGAGTTTTCTGGGCCGTATGGCCATGTTCCAGAAGCATTCTCTCCTGACATTTCGCCCACATCTATGACAGGCATCCTCAGAGGTTGTGAGGTCTGTTGGAAACTATGCAAGTGGTGTTAATGTATCTGTGGAATGTCCAGAGAGGAGAAAGAACTTGTCTGCTTGAGGCAGATGTGAATGTTGCAATTGGCCACCTTGATTAGCATTTAATAGCCTTGCAGCTTCAAAGTCTGGCTGCTTCCTACCTGGGGGAATCCTTTGTTTGGGAGGTGTTAGCTGGCCCTGATTGTTTCTTGTCTGGAATTCCCCTGTTTTGAGTGTTGTGCTTTATTTTCTGTCCAGTTTTTTAATACTGGTAGCTAGATTTTGTTGTTTATTTTCATGGATTCCTTCTTCCTGTTGAAATTGTCCACTTGCTTGTAGATTTCAGTGGCTTCTCGTGGAATCTGACATGGTGGCTGTTAGTGTGGTCCAGCATTTCTGAGTTCTCGAATAATATGCTGTGTCCAGGTTGGTTCATCAAGTGCTCTGCTATAAAAGTTTGGTATAAAAGTTTACCCTTAGAATAGACTCCAGCTGTATCACCCACTTAGGGACAAACCCTATAGAGCATAATCATTTTTACTGAATAATGTATGCAAAGGCACTTCCAAAAAGCCATTTCAGCCTTTTTCCTGATAGACACCGAAGGCCAGATTCCCTTGCTTTGATTCTGTAGAAGCAAAACTAGAGGTAGAATGGAAATACTGGCCTTGCATCTGTACAAAGAAGAGGTCACATTGTGCTAAAAAATGTAAACTATTTTATATTTCTTTTGCTGGTGTGGAAAGCTGGGCTTGGGTGGTGCCTAAAATGGAGTTAAAAACCTCACTTCTGTCCTTATTCAGGGTTGCAGTTATATAGAGGACAAAATGGGGGCTTGCCCCTTAAATAAGAATCCTACCTCTCCATAATGAAATTCGCTTCAATTCAAGTCCCGCAGTAATAACAAGGATTGGTGAGAAAGCTTCAATGGAGACCCCTTTTACCCATGCAACAGAAAATTCTTATTTGGAGATCATAGTCATTACTTTACCCTTTCTCTAGGGCAGTGGTTCCCAACCTGTTTTTGACCAGAGACCACTTTGACCAGGGACCACTCTCCAACATTAGTACCAAAAGGGTTACGAATCAGTTTTGGGTCAACTTTAGATTTAGTTTGGTTATTTGGGATGCTGATTGAGAACATTGCATTGGATAGACCACATCAGCTCTAGTTTCTGATACAGAACATATGTATCATCCAGTAGTCTCCATCTGCTCGCTCACAGAAAACCTTATATAATAATCTAGAGCTGCCGTGGTCTATCCAATGCAATTTTCTGAATCAGCACTGTGAAGCATTGCAACGATGTAGTAACGGTGAGGCTACGGACTATATTTTAGTTCTTGCGGACTACTGGTGGTTCACGGGACTGTAGGCTGGGTACCACTGCTCTAGAGAAACCAGCATAGTGTAGTGGTTTGTACTGGACTAGGACACTGGGTCAACTGGATTTGAATCCTCGCTTGGCCATGGAACTCCACTGAGATGACCTTGGGCAAGTCACACTTTCTCAGCCTCAGAAGAAGGCAACACTGTCCAGACAAAATCTGCAAAAATAACCCAATGACAGAGTCACTTTAGGGTTACCATAAGTCAGAAATAACTTCAAGGAACACAACAAATTTCTATAGAATGCTATCCTGTTTCTAGGTATATGTGCTATGGCTTCTTTAGTTTTAGTTTAGTTTAACTCAAGTTCATTGCTTCCAATAAGTAATAACAATGTCTGTAATATCTGGAATAAGGTGTGTATTATTTTATGTGGCTTGTGTTGTTGTTTTTTTACTGGATTAAAAAATGAGACACGATGTTTGATTTCAACTTCATCATAACATCAAAAAAATCCCAAACATTTTGGATAAGATTTGCTCAACTTATGACCCTGACTACACTGCCCTTATGATGCTTTGAACTGGATTGTATGAGTCTCCACTGTTAGATAATCTGGGATAAGCAAATAAACTGGGATCAGATTCTGGGGTATAGGGCAGTGTGGAAGGGGGCTCTGTCTCATAATGTCTCTATTTACAGGCTAATTGGGTTTATTTATTTATTTATTCAAAACTTTTATATCCTGTTCTTCTCTACCTCTGTGGAGGGACTCAGAACAGCTAACAACAGCAAAAATTCAATGCTACACAAAAAATAACATTTTAAAAACAACATACACAATAAATAAGTTATAAAATACATATAAAAGACAGTTCGCCAAGTTAAAAACATCATCCAACTCAATCCAAACATTGTGGTCAAATAACTCTTAGTCTTTACCGGTTCAGTCCATCAATCTCCGAACGCCTGATTCCAAAGCCAGGATTTCAGTTGCTTCCTGAAGGTCAGGAGGGAGGGGCAGATCTAACCTCATTGGGGAGAGAGTTCCATAATGAAGGTGGAGGCATTGGGTTGTTGTAGGTTTTTCGGGCTATATGGCCATGTTCTAGAAGCATTCTCTCCTGACGTTTTGCCTGCATGTATGGCAAGCTTGGGTGTGATCCTGGATTCATTGCTAAGCCTGGAACTCCAGGTCTTGGTGGTGACTAGGGGAGCATTTGCACAGTTAAAACTTGTGTGCCAGCTGCGCCCGTACCTTGGGAAATCTAACTTGGCCATGGTAGTCCATGCTCTGGTTACATCCCATATAGACTACTGCAACGTGTGCGACGGGGGGTTGCCTTCAAAGACTGTTCGGAAGCTGCAAATGGTCCAATGAGCAGCAGCCAGGTTGCTAACAGGAGTGGTGCTCAGGGAGCACACAACTCCTCTGCTGCACAAGCTCCACTGGCTGCCTGTTTGCTTCTGGGCACAATTCAAAGTGCTGGCTTTAGCCTATAAAGACCTACACGGTGTTGGTCCAACTTACCTACCTGAATGTATCTCTCCTTATGAACCATCTAGGACGTTAGCATCTTCTGAGGAGGCCCTGCTCTTGCTCCCGCCTTTTTCTCAGATGCGCCTGGTGGGGACGAGAGATAGGGCCTTCTCAGCGGTGGTCCCTTGACTGTGGAATGCCCTGCCTAGAGATCTAAGATCGGCTCCCTCCCTCCTGACTTTTCAAAAAAAAGGTGAAAACCTGGCTTTTTGAGCAGGCCTTCCCAAATACGGCATAGCTATACAAAATCATGGAACTACTTGAAAATGCAATGCAATAACGATTTGACATAGAGATGCTCACAATAATGTTTTAAGGCTATGTACGGTTTTTATATTTTTATATCATATGCTATTGTTTTTAACTGAAATTCTTGGGGTTTTTTTTTTGTCGTGTCAGGAGCAACTTGAGAAACTGCAAGTCACTTCTGGTGTGAGAGAATTGGCCGTCTGCAAGGATGTTGCCCAGGGGATGCCAGGATGATTTTGATGTTTTTATCATCCTTGTGAGAGGCTTCTCTCATATTTATTTATTGTGTCATCCGCAACCAGAACATTGTATTACATTTCTAACAGAAGAAAACAAACAAACAGATAAAAAAACAAAAAAACCCACAAATTTTGCAAACTTGGTAGCTGATTAAATGTCCTTTGACCAGTATCTGGCCACTTGGAGTGCCTCTGGGGTTGCTGCAAGAAGGTCCTCCATTGTGCATGTGGCAGGGCTCAGGTTGCATTGCAGCAGGTGGTCAGTAGTTTGCCCTTCTCCACACTCGCATGTCGTGGATTCAACTTTGTAGCCCCATTTCTTAAGATTGGCTCTGCATCTCGTGGTGCCAGAGCGCAGTCTGTTCAGCACCTTCCAAGTCGCCCAGTCTTCTGTGTGCCCAGGGGGGAGTCTCTCATTTGTGTGCCAGCTTCTCTCATGTCCCCGTATGAGGAGCTGGAACAGACAGAGGGAGCTCACCCACATCTCCCCGGATTCGAACCTGCGACCTGTAGGTCTTTAGTCCTACCGGCACAGGGGTTTAACCCAATGCGCCACCGGGGGCTCCTTTGAGGAATTGAATTGCTGTGGAGTTGCCTCTGGGCTGAGAGGGGCGGTATATAAATATAGTAAATAAATATATAAGCATCTTCAGAGGTGAAGGCATTACTTTTCATTCAACCCTGGTATATACAAACAGTAAGCAACAGAAACATAGATAAGCGTGACTAGAGAAGGCTGTCATTTCCAATCCTTTCAAAGTTAAGACCTGCAGAATGAAACAAGAAATGACACTTTCAAATGAGGAACAGATCTTCTAAACTTTGTTCCCTTGTGTCATGCCAATCATAATCCGTGGAGWTAAAGGCCACCTGGCGAAAGGGCTTGGAGGTGTCCTAGTACATTGATAACGCGGGTGGGCGAAGGAAATGAGTGGCACAAGGGGGCGGGGGGGGGGCAGCTCAGGGAGGGAGGAGGATGAGTCAGGCGCGGGGCTGCCCCTCTATAAAGGGAGGCCCAAGAAGAGGCTGGAGCAGAGCGCCTCCCTGACCCTCGAGGTGTGTGTGTGTGTSTCTCTCTTTCTCTCTCTGGAGGGGGCTCTGCCATGAGGCTTGCTTGGCTGCTGCTCCTGCTCCTGCTCAGCCACTGTCCCTTCTCCCAGGAGCAAGAGGAGGGAGGCGAAGGCGATGTCAGGCTCTGCGGGCGAGACTTTGTGCGCGCCGTCGTCTTCACCTGCGGAGGCTCCCGGTATAGGAGGATCTCCCCAAAAGAGGACCAGGCGCCCCCGGCCCAGGAGACCCTCGGTGCGTATCTTGGCCACGCTTGCCCCGCTCTGCGCTGAGGGAGGGAGGGACGGGGAGGGACACACTTCCACGCCGCCTTGCCTGGTCAGAACCTCCAGCCAGGGCACGGCTTCCTTCTTTCTCTCCCCCTAAAGCCCCTTCCTGGCGAAGAGCCCACCTAAACATCAGGAAGCGCTTCCTGACTCTAAGGGCTGTTCAACAGTGGAACTCTCTGCCTCGGAGTTTGATGGAGGCACCTTAGAACCATAGAGAGACTACTTGTAGCCCTCCTTCTTTCTGCCATGCAGGGAAAGCACAATCAAAGCACCCCTGACAAATAGCCATCCACCACTCTCCGAGGCAGAGAGTTCCTCTCTTGAACAGCTCTTACCACCAGGGTTTCAGATTTTCCTTATTATGTTCTTTCATCCCCAGGTGGTGCAATGGGTTAAAGTCTTGTGCCAGCAGGACTGCCAAGACACTGCTTCCTTCTCTTTCCTGGTTGAGAGCCCACCTGGACACAAGCAAGCGCTTCCTGACTCTAAGAGCTGTTCAACAGTGGAACTCTCTGCCTCGGAGTTTGGTGGAGGCACCTTAGAACCATAGAGAGACCACTTGTAGCCCTCCTTCTTTCTGCCACGCAGGGAAAGCACAATCAAAGCACCCCTGACAAATAGCCATCCAGCCTGTTTAAAAGCCTCCGAAGAAGGAGCATCCACCACCCTCCAGGGCAGAGAGTTCCTCTCTTGAACAGCTCTTACCACCAGGGTTTCAGATTTTCTTTATTACGTATGTTCTATCTGCCCCCATGGCGCAATGGGTTAAACCCTTGTGCCGGCAGGAGTGCCAAAGCTCTGCTTCCTTCTCTTTCCAAGTTGAGAGCCCACCTGAACACAAGCAAGCGCTTCCTGACTCTAAGAGCTGTTCAACAGTGGAACTCTCTGCCTCAGAGTTTGGTGGAGGCTCCTTAGAACCATAGAGGGGCCACATCCAGTCCATCCCCCTTCTTTCTGCTATGCAGGGAAAGCACAATCAAAGCACTCCTGACAGATAGCCGTCCATCCTCTGTTTAAAAGCCTCCAAACAAGGAGCTGTGACCACTCTCCGAGGCAGAGAGTTCCACTGCTGAACAGCTCTTAGGATCAGGGCTACAGATTTTCCTTACTATCAGATTTCCTCTCACAGTCAGGAAGTTCTTCCTAATGTTCAGGCAGAATCTCCTTTCCTGTAGTTTGAAGCCATTGTTCCACGTCCTAGTCTCCAGGGCAGCAGAAAACAAGCCTGCTCCTTCATCCTTATGACAGCTTTTCCTCTATTTATCCATGGCCATCTCTTCTGCAGGCTAAACATCCCCAGCTCTTGAAGACACTCCTCATAAAGAGTCATGGTCTCCAGGCCTTTGATTGTCTTATTCTCCCTCCTCTGGACACCTCCCAGTCTGTCAATATCCCTCTTCAATCGTGGTGTCCAGAATTGGAGGCTTTTAAACAGAGGCTTAAGATTAAAACACATTAAATCATTCATACCTGAATTCATAGTTTTAAATGAAGTCAAAATCTATGCCCTGTGTTCTGGTTGTATTGGTTTCTATATTGATTTACTGTCAATTTGATGCTGGTTATCCAATAGCGGTGCTATTGATATTCACATCTCCACTCAAACCTTTACAACTTTCCTGTTTCTAGGTATCAAGATTATTCGAACTTGAAGCACTGCGTGTTTAGATCCTTTCGTCGGGAAAGTCTTCCCTTTTTTCCACCAATTATTTAGTGGTGATTATTTATTTATCGTGTCAGAAGCGAATTGAGAATACAGTTATAAAGTATAGAAAAACCACAAAGTTAAAAACTTGGCATTATGCTGAATTTCCTTTGACCAGAAGCTGTCCCCTCGGAGTGCCTCTGGTGGTTGCAAGAAGCTAAGCCATTGTGCATGTGACAGGACTCAAGACTGCATTGTAATAGGTGGTCTGTGGTTTGCTTTTCTCCACACTCGCATGTCATGGACTCCACTTTGAAGCCCCATTTCTTACGGTTGGTTCTGTATCTTGTGGTGCCGGAGCGCACTCTGTTCAGCACCTTCCAAGACACCCAGTGTTCTGTGTGCCCAGGGGGGAGTTTCTCATCTGGTATCAGCCACTGGTTGAGATAATAATAATAATAATAATAATAATAATAATAATAATAATAATAATAGGTTGTTGTAGGTTTTTGGGCTGTATGGCCATGTTCCAGAAGTATTTTCTCCTGACGTTTTGCCTGCATTTGTGGCAAGCAACCTCACAATAATAATAATAATAATAATAATAATAATAATACTTTATTTGTACCCTGCTACCATCTCCCCAAGGGACCCGGTGTGGTTTACATGAGGCCGAGCTCACAATACAACAATACAAGCAATAACAATAACAATACATGCATTTAAAATAAATCACATAGACAATAACATAAGCAATGACAATAATGCAGAACACTTTAAAAACTATTGTGGGAGTTGGAATCCAAAACAATCCAAAACAACCTCTGAGGATGCTTGCCACAGATGCAGGCGAAACATCAGGAGAGAATGCTTCTAGAACATGGCCATACAGCCCAAAAAATCTACAATTACCCAATAATAATAATAACTTTATTTTTATACCCCACCTCCATCTCCCTAAAGAAACTCAGGGCAGTTTACATGGGGACAAGTCCATGTAACCTGGATTTTAGCTTGCCACTTTTGGACTCTCGCTTGCTGAAGTGTTCTTGCGAGTATCTCTGTATATCTTAGTAAGCTATTTCTTGATTTAAGACGTTGGCATGCTGGCTGATATCCTAACAGAGGAAGAGCTGAAGATGGCAATGCCTTGGCCCTTTCTTTACTGGCTGCTCTTTCCCGATGGATGTCAGGTGGCACAATACCGGCTAAACAGTATAATTTCTCCAGTGGTGTAGGGCATAGATATTAGTTGTGTTACAATAGAATAGAATAGGATAATTTTATTGTCATTGTACAACAAAATTAAATGCTTTCCCCACCACACATCACAAGAACAACACACCCATCCCTTCACACTCCAACCAACGTATTCTAGGAAGAAAAGATTTGTTCTGAAATGTAATTGGAGAGGTGTGTTATCTTTTTATTAGACATTCCAGCGATCCTAGCTGATACTTTACATTCCATTTTGTCTTAACAGGCTTTCTGCAAATTACCGGAGACAAAGGACAAGAAAACAATAATTTGCTCTCAGCTTTAGATCCTACCGTGAATCAGCTGCAAAGTCTCCGCCAACCAGCTAAGGAGCCGTCATTGAAAGACTTGCTCATTTTATATGATAACTATATTGAATCTGTTCCTCTTTCTGATACCTTCACTGAATATATTCGTCACACGGAGGATGTAGCCCGCAAAAGAGGAGGGGAAACGGAGCCGGATAATTCAAACAACCTGAATCACTTTCCCTGGGTCAAATACCCACGAAGAAAACGTGACCTTGAGAAGAGGCTGTCCGCAATATGCTGTTCTTTGGGATGCAACCAATCACTTCTTAGCAGACTATGTTGAGAATATGCACGTTTAGTTTTCCAAGAACAGACTTACAGGCAGTTACAACACTACTTAGCTATATAGAATCATAGAGACTTTGCGGGCCATCCAGTCCAACCCCCTGTTATTATGTCCTTGTTTCTTTTTAGCCACCCTATAGACAAGGCATGGGCAAACTTTGGCCCTCCAGGTGTTTTGGACTCCAACTCCCACAATTCCTAACAGCCTCAGGCCTCTTCCTTTCCCCCCTGAGCCGCTTAAGTGGCTGAGGGGGGAAAAGGAAAGGGCCTGAGGCTATTAGGAATTGTGGGAGTTGGAGTCCAAAACACCTGGAGGGCCAAAGTTTGCCCATGCCTGCTATAGAAACAAACACAATAGTCTTTTTATTGGAACCATATTCTGTGCTTATCATATTTGTACAATTTTAATAAAAACATTTTCCCTTAAAATTAGGCTGATATTTCTACCAAAACTCTGTAGTGTTTAATTGCTTTTAATTAAATTCTTATGAATTCTTGACATGAGTTGGGTGTATATCAAATTCACAGGTCTCCGAAGTATAATTAAACACAAAGAAGAACATAGGACTGAGTTTCTTATATACTCCCAATCAAGGTTTCCTTAATATCTATCTGGGGATTGGGAAATGAAATGTTACATGTTGCCATGCATAAACGTACAGGTATTTTGTTCATTTTATGAAACTGTAGGAAAATATGGAGGCAGGAGGAAAAGAGGGAGACCTCATTCCAGGTGGATTGGTTTGATCATCTCGGCATCACCTTGGACTGAATACTAACATTTAGGAAACACTGTGCAAATACCAAGCACAAAGTAGCTTGTAATATCATCTTGTGGAAACTTACTAATACTACATGGGATGCAGACCCTAAATTAATAAGAACATCAGCCCTGGCCTTGTCTTATTCACATGTTGAGTATGCCTGCCCCGTCTGGCACAAAGCTGCCCACATGAAGCAGGTGGATATAGCACTGAATGAGACCTGCTGTCACGCTGCCAGGGCTCTGCCGGTACTGAGGCAGAGATGAACTAAACAAACACTCGGTTTGTATAAAGCAATTTAATTAAAACAGCACTTACTTTCTGGCTGTTTTATTAGTCCAAAATATAAAGCATAAAGATAGCACTCAGCCACAGAATACAAAAGTAAAACTGATAGCAAACGCTACACCGTAGTCAAAGGGTCCAGTCCAGTGGTCAAATGCTGAGAGTTCAGTGAACAAAGTCCAGGGATCAAGATTCTATATCGTAGTCAAAAGTCAATCCAAAGAGTCAAGGTTCCAGGGTTCCAAGGGCTCAGGAGACAGGTCAGGATACTGAAAATCCAGAAACCTGGGGGGAAACCAGCAGCATCTACCACCAAGATTTTTTTTGTCGTGTCAGGAGTAACTTGAGAAACTACAAGTCACTTCTGGTGTGAGAGAATTGGCCATCTGCAAGGACGTTGCCCAGGGGACACCCGGATGTTTTTGATGTTTTACCATCTTTGTGTGAGGCTTCTCTCATATCCCCGAATGGGGAGCTGGAGCTGACAGAGGGAGCACATCCACATTCTCCCTGATTTGAACCTATGGGCTGTCAGTCTTCAGTCTTGCCGGCACAAGGGTTTAACCCACTGCGCCACTGCAAGATTAATCTGAATCTTCTGCTAGTCATATTAAAAGTAGCATTTCTTTTAACCTTGGCTTAATACAACTAGGCTGTAATTATGCCTAAGAAATACGTGAAGAAAAGTACCTTCATGTGCAAGATACTTTCTTGTTAATGTAAGATTGTTTGCTTAGAATATAGGTAAACCCAGGCCTGGGAGCCAGATGCAGCCCCTTGAGCTCCTTTCTTAGGCCCTCCCCTCTCAGCATCCTATCCTATTTTCTTCTCTCTTTCCTTCATCCTCCCCTCTCTCCCTCCTTCCTTCCCTTCCACCCTTTCATCCTTCCTTCCTCTTCCTTCCCCTTTGTCTTTCCTTCCTTCTCTCTTTCCTCCCTCCCTCCATTCCCTTCCATCCTTCTCTCCCTCCTTCTCTCCCTCCCTCTTTTTCCTTCCTCCTTTCCTCCTGGGGGATGTTTTGCTGGGAGAAGAAAAGGTTCCAAGATTTAAAAGCTTGTTCCATTGAGGAGTAGAGAGAAAACTGACCTTCTGCTGCTCTAGAGAACAGGACACAAGGAAGCAATGGTTTCCAATGAGATTTGACTCAGAAGAACTTCTTGGAGAGTGGCATAGACTGCCTTGGGGTTTGGTGGAATCTTCTTCTCTGGAAGCTTTTCCACAGAGACTTTGTACTTTGATTGTGCCTTCTTGCCTGGCAGGGGGTTGGACTGGATGGTCCTTGGGGGTCTCTTCCAGCTCTAGGATTCTATATCAGAAGTAGGCAATATGGGGTCTAATGGATACACTTTTTCCTCTCACATCCACTATCTCATCCTAATGAAGGCCAACCCTTTTGCGATCCAAATGTTTCCTCTCTTTCCTTCACTTTCTGCCTCCGAAAGAGAAGATGAACGGGAAGAAAGGGCAGCAAGGGGACTTGGGGAGAACCCCCTCCCTCCTGGCCCACCCACCTAGCTCCCCCAAGTTAGAAAGTTTGTTCATGCCTGGCTTAGAATTAAAAAGTTTCCCTTTAAGGATCTCCTGTTTTGCAATGCTTTCTTCATATGCCTTTACTCAGTGTGTATCTTCATATGCATGAAACGTTCTCATTTCCTACAAGTCTCTGCAGGGGAGGAAAAGACATTGAAAGTCCTCAGCAACTTCCCAATGAGTCACTTAATTACTTGGGGCAAATCAGTGGGCGGTGGCAGCTAGATGATCTCCAAGGATCCTCAAGGGTCCTATTTCCTAGTCAAGTGCAGGAAATGAGACTATTACAGTATCATTAGTCAAACAGCTTTAGTTTGCCCTGAAATCAGGTATCCGCAACAAAACAATACCTTAGTTATAATTGGTGTCTATATAAATATCTTCAAATTTAGAAGTACACGTTGCTCCAATATCACATTTTGTTTTCAAAGTAACATGTTACTCATCAGCAAGTAAATTCACATGTTGCTGTCAGTGTAACAGAATCCCTCACAAAAATGGCAAACCTGCCGATGTCCCCCCAGCAACACGGGCAATGAGTAAACATTAGTCATTATATAAAATTGTAGTGTATACACATCATTATTGCTTCTTGCTATTGCAGAAATAATTGTGCTACAGGAAACACTGATACTTTTTATATGTGGAAATAGGATCACTCGGGCCCCTTCCACACAGCTGAATAAAATCCCACATTTTCTGCTTTGAACTGGAATATATGGATTCAGGGCGCTTCCACACAGCCATATAACCCAGAATATCAAGACACAATATCTGCTTTGAACTGGGTTATCAGAGTCCACACTGCCATAAATTCCAGTTCAAAGCAGATAATGTTGGGTTTTATTCAGCTGTGTGAAAGGGATCTCAGATAACTGGGGGCCCTTCCTCACAGCCCTATATCCCAGGATATAAGGCAGAAAATCCCACATTATCTGAGTGTGGACTCAGTTCAAAACAGATAACGTGGAATTTTCTGCCTTGATATTCTAGGATATAGGGCTGTGAGGAAGGGCCCTTGGTGTAGTGTGTTAGTTCTCTGCAGTGTGGTGTGATGGCTTTTTTCTGCAACATAGAGGCCATGGGAGAACTGGATTGTTAGCCTGGGTAGAATTGGTTGTGCAAGGGCCCAGTTATACCATTGGCTGTGAGGAGATGCAAGACTCAATCAGCAAAAGGACTGGGATGCTTCTCTGCTGTATACTATCTGCAGTATAATTTACCACTAAAAAACCACTTTATTATTGAACAGTAATTTGTGCCAATCTTGAGCACCAAACCAAATCGTGGGGAAGTCAGGAACTAAATCCAGTTCACAGAACAGAACTCTCTGGTTTCAGAAGTCAGCTTAGAGCCAATTTACCTTGGTTCTAGCATTGACAGGCAATTTCTGATCACATATATATGGAAAGAAAAGGAAAAAGATACTCTGGTTTGCCAACCAGGAGAAGCAGGACTAGCTACTGCATTTCACCAAATAACATAATAGTCACACCCCTCTTATCCAGCCCACAAATTGGTTTCTTGCCTTGTCGCACTTAATAATGGCATGGGTAATTCAGTTCATCATGCCACTTAAAAGCAGCAATGTATTCACCAGTGGCCCTGAGCCTAAAATTCTCAGGGCATGCGCATTGCCAATGTACAACTTAGTTATAGGGTGAAGATTCAAAGCTTACCATATTACATGATTGCTTCATTTGTTTCCTCTGTAGTATCATCTCCCACCTCTCTTTTGAACCCCCCCCCCCACCTCTTTCTTGCTGGTGTTTCATTCATCTTCTTGTTTCCTTCCATCCCTTTCTCATCTTCCTCCCCTTTTCCTTCCCCATCCCTCTTCCTCCCTGTCAATTCACAGCAGCACTTCCACTCCCTTATTTTCTCTCTGGGATGGCTGAGTTTGAATCTCTAGCTGCTGCTGACGAAAAATGTCCAAACAAGACATCATCTACATGGGTACAGGCAAATCTTGGCCCTTTAGGTATTTTGGACTTCAACTCTCAGAAATCCCATCCAGCTTACCTGCTATAAGAAATTATGGGAGTTGTAGTCCGAAACACCTGGAGGGCTTCGGCTTTCCCATACCTGTTATAGAAGCTACCAATATCTGGTCCCCGTGGGCCTCACATGGTAGGTGCATAAAATGGTGACCAAAGAAGGAGGGGTCTGCAGAAAGACAGTTTTCAGCAACATGGCACATTTTTTTAAAAGAACTTAGTGTAATGTTCACACTCCCCTTTTTAAAAAAAAATTGGCATAAATGCGACTATTATGCAGCGAAATATGGTGTTTCAAGTTTTGGGAGTAAGTCTTTGGCTTGGTCTTTTGTTTAATCCACAGTAAATTCAAACTGACACCCCCAAAAAGGTCAGATAAATGAGAAGTCGCTCTCCAACTCTGAATTGAAACAAATTCAAAGTCACCACATTTCAAAAGATCACATTTGTTTAAACTGTCTTACGGTGGAAAGTAACACGGAGAGCCCTGGTTTGGTTTGGTTTGGTTTAACACTACCTGCAATGATTACACAAGGAAAGGAAAAAGGCCCATTTTGGAATTCCAAAAATGGGGGTGTAACTATTATGCAATGGCGACTATTATGTGATGAAATACAGTAATAATTCTCAAACAAAAACCATTTAATTTTCTAAGTAGAACTATGATCTAGTTAGCATTTTCTTTAATGTTGTGAAACAAAAAAATAAACAAAACCTGTTTCAACAAAAAACTCAACGTTTTGACAGTAAAATCCTCTATCTTCTTACTGAAAACCACTAAGCTCAGTGGGATTACTCCCCATGTAAGTGTGTATAGAATTGCAACCACAAACGTATGATGGAATAAGTTTAAAAGCTTCCAAACTCATCAATGCATTTAAGAAATTAGAATACAACTCAACTAGTTATATTATACCAAGCAAATATGCCTTTATTCACTGGGGAGGGGACACTACAACTATGGAAGAGCTTGTCATTCCCTGAGTTTTTTCCATCTTATATGGAACATAAACTTCTTGATCAGATAAGGATGAATTCCCATTATGGTCAGACTACTACAAACTTGATATACTGCATCGCTTTATGGTCTTATCAATTTGGTTAGCCAGAAACACATTATACACATCATATTCCGCAAAAGCAAGATACATTTTCCTGTACAACATATTTTTCAAAGGAGCTTCAAAGCCATGTACAAAGTGCAATGCATTTGACCATATCAATTAAAAAAAAATAGGTATCTATACAATGTGCAACTGCATCTGAAATTGGGGATGGTTTGCAAATCTTCAGCTGTTGAAGCGTAACATACTATTACAAAATACAAAAACCTGCAAGTTTTACTCCAGGCGGCCTCCTCCCAAAACACACTGTTAGGCATAAGGGGAGAGAGGAGATTTGGCCTGAGGAAAGCAAGGTGGATACTGGGATTGCTCCCTCCTAATGCTGGGATGCTGTGCAAGCACATGGATTCCCCCAAGTGCAGGTGAAACACATCCCAACCTGTAAGACAAAATGAAGAAGCTTTGGCATGTGTGGGAGAGGAGATTTGCGTGTACTTTCAGACCATCATATTAGCCTTGATGTATATGCCAGAGCCCACAGTGGCGCAAAACAGACTTGGTACTCACAGAAGAAACATTTGCAACATTTGAGGTACTTTTAAAATCCTACACAAAGCTCACATCACTGCACTCTCCTTATCTGAGGTAGATAGGTGGATCAACAGACTAGGGGTGTATGCCATCTAAGTCACAATCTGTTGGACACTCAAGTATATTTCAAGTTTGCATTCAGCTCTGACAGCCTACAACAGGGATGAGAAGCATCCCGTCCTTCAGAGGCTGGTGGACTGCAAGTCCCAGCAGCACTGGCAATGCAGCCAATGGGAGGAATGATGGGAGTTACAGTAAGGCAACAATAACAGTTCCCACCCTTAGTGTATAGAAACTGCCTCTTTTGCCAAATTTAGCCTTCTGGCTTCAGGGTGTAAACACTTCATTTGATCACAAATTCTGAGAAGGGGAGCTCTAGATTTCAACTTTCTGAAACAATGGCTCCCCACATTTGGTTTTTCAGATTGTTTGGACAACTTCACACTGCCCATACTGGACTGGGTTTGTGGGAGACAGAAGTCCAAAACGCCTGGAGGGCCAAGGACTGAGAACCACTGCTCTAAAGCAAGGCTTGGTGGCAAGTAGGGCAACATGGTCAAATATCTTGTGCACATCGCGTCAATTTCAACTCCAGTGGCCAGTTCTCCAGCTGACAGACTGATGCTACTCCTATTACTTCCATCTCTCCACATTCTTAGGATGTATAACCCACTGACATAAATTTGCTAGAGCCCCCAGTGGTGCAATGGGTCAAACCCTTGTAATGGCAGGGCGAGAGCGGGCTCAGCTCCGTCTGTCAGCTCCAGCTCCAGCTCCCCATGTGGGGATATGAGAGAAGCTTCCCACAAGGATGGTAAAACATCAAAACATCTGCGCATCCCCTGGACAACATCCTTGCAGACAGCCAATTCTCTCATACCAGAAGCAACTTGCAGTTTCTCAAGTCACTCCTGACCTGAAAAAAAAATGAATTTGTGCCACTGAGTCTGCTAATGCAAGGGTCTGCATGACTTTTCAATTTGTTCCACTATTTCAGCTGTATAAAATCAAGCTGTGATATCACAGAGCTGCAGTTACACATGGCCCAATTATATAACAACCTAAGGACAAGGATTGGTGAACGGGAGGATCACAGTTATTCTTTCAAAAACATCATAAACACATTTTCTATCCATAGCTGAATGGATAATCATGGAAAAACAAAGTGGGCAAAAGGGGGAAATGCAACATTTGGTAGGGCTGGCAAGGCTAACATAGTTTACACCTGGAACGTATCACATTGCTGACTACAAAACGCTTTCAAAGAACTCATCACATGTACTAACACACAGGTAGGAAAATAGACTGCTATATATATTTGTTCATTGAAAAACATATATTTCAGCAGGCACTCTAAAATAGATTTATATATATGTATATGTCCTTTTTTTGTTCCCTTTCCATCAAAGTATTTACAGTACATCAATCCCCAAAGGTGCATCTCTGTTTCTGTCGCTGGCCAGCACTTGGCTCAGGCAGGCATGTTGAAAGTTGCTCAATCAACTCTTTGAAACACACACAGGCGTTTAACTTGTCTTACTCACAGTGAATTCACTATGCTTTGACACTATAAAGAAACAAACAGACATACATTAAACCTCGTTCAGGAAACACAAGCCCTTGTGCAAAGGATGCCCAAAAACTCTTCAGTCACCGAAGAAAAGTCCAGCGTGAATTATAGAAGTCTTTTGTAACTTCCTGCTCTGGTTTGCATGGTATTCACCACTTTTACATGGGGTCCTCGTTAGGTTACCCCAATGTTTTTTGGTGATCTGTACGTTGGGGACATCAGAATCAGCCTGTGATGTTTTCTCCTCTCACCATGACTAGTAGCTGTCCTATATGCCTTAGATTGCTTTAAAAAATAAATCTTATGGTAAAGCAGAAGAGGAATCCACACACAGGTATAATGAAGATGATGATGAAGATGATGATGATCGATACAGAGTGACTATGGGCATCCTTGTCCACTATTAAGCTCAACTTGCTCCTCTTTAAAGTGACATGCTGGGAATGTGAAATATTCTAGGTGTGCTGAAACAGATCACAGATGTTTCCAAATGTCCACAAATTCTGTAGACCAGAATTTGTATACAGGTCTACTCTGATATAAGTCCCACAGGTAAACAGGTACAACACTGTAGTCTAAATCACGTTCACCTCAGTGATGATTTTCTTTTAAAAAAAATATGTCAATCTGCTCACCATTCAGTCTTTGGATTCTTTTAGTCAAATCTGTAGGTTGACAATAATATTTGTTGGCCAATCTGTCTGTCTGCATGTAAGGCAAAACAAGGTGATGCTAACTGAACACATTTTCCAGTGATTTGCTTTTTTTTTTTTAAGTAAAAACAAATGCAATTCTTTCACAACCAAGTGCTTTGCACTGGTGCAGCACAGCAATACTCCCCATGAAGGAAGAAACCAGAGTTCTTCACAGTCGTGCGGAAGTCATGATGGGATCATTTCCTTCCAACCTCTGTTCTCAAAGAAGAAAGTGCCTGGGAGGGCCAATAATCTGCAACCACGCCAAGAACAGAACACATTTTGCAATGCAGGTCAAGGTTTCTCTTTGGATGCTCTTTGTGGAGTCTTCATCCACCCATGTTCTCCCTTAGGACATCAACTCTCAGAGTGAGGTCCCTAAAGATGGGTCGCACGCTTGGGTTACTGTTCCAGCACTCTGTCATGATGGCATAAACCTTGGAAAGACAGAAAAACATCAGCATGAGATAGGCAAAACTATAGTCGTAGGTCATTTTTAAACTAGTCAAGATATCAGAGGCCTTGGCACTAAACAAAAACAAAGACTTTAGTTTATCCTATGCATTTCTCTTTCTCATACACACACTCTATTTCCCAGTGCAGAACTTTCCAACCATTTCATGCTGGAGACATACTTTTTAGAATTGCATGGTTTTACGTCACAGTAATTAAGTTTTGGAGTCCCCGGTGACCCAGCGGGTTAAACCACTGAGCTGTTGAACTTCCTGACCAAAAGGTTCAAATCCAGGGAGTGGGGTGAGCTCCCCCTGTTAGCTCCAGCTTCTGCCAACCTAACAGTTTGAAAACGTTCAAATGCGAGTAGATCAATAAGTACCACTTCAACAGGAAGGTAACGGCACTTCATGCGGTCATGCTGGCCACATGACCCTGGAGGTGTCTACGGACAACACTGGCTCTTCAGCTAAGAAATGGAGATGAGCACCACCCCACAAAGTCGGACTCGACTAGACTTAATGTCAAGGCAAAACCTTTACTACTTTACTTTAATTCAGTTTTACTAGCAAACAAGACGTTAAACCAGAAGTGGTTTAACAAACAACAGGTTACACCAGAAGTGACTTGCAGTTTCTCAAGTTGCTCCTGACATGCCGAAAAAACAAAACAAAACCCAACTCCTTTTAAGAAATACACACACAAACTGTAATTATAAAATGTATGTGGACACACAACATAGTTCATGAAAACTTTTCAGTTATATTTTAAAAAATATATGATTTTTAAGATAATAGAATACATTGCCAAGATTTTTGTCATTTTTCATTATATTTGCGCAACACTCCTACATACTGCAGCTGACACATTAATGTGCCATGACACATAGTTTGGAAAGCTCTGTCATAGCACATTTCCTTCTTCTAACACTCTCTCCTATGTCAGGATCCTCCTAGGACCTGCCATAATATAAAGTGTGTGACCTGGGACTAGTATTTACTTCAACAATATTATATATTTCTTTTGTTTAAGCTTTATTACTATAAACTATTCCAGTACACTGAGTTTATTTTAGCTAGTTGATGGGAATTAAGAGTAGGCAGCTGCACACTGTAGTTAGTGGGAACCAGCACTAATTAACACCAAACACCTGAACAATAAGGGAGGGGAGCCTGGGAGGACAGAGAGCTGGAACCAAGGTTGGAGTGAGCTCCCAACTGTCAGTCCTAGCTTCTGCCAGTCTAGTAGTTTGAAAGCATGCAATATGAGTAGATCAATAGGTATCACCTCAGTGGGATGATAAAAGAGTACCCCATGCAGACATGCCAGCAAAAAGATTGGAGATGTCTACAGACAGCAGGCTCCTTCGGCATGGAAAATGGAACAGGAGCACCTCCTCATGGCAGGAGTTGAGCATCGCCTCCAGACTCCAGAGATGGAAAAAAGGGAAGGTCTTTACCTTATCTGTGTATTGTATGTCGTTTGTGTAAAATGGCATTGAATGTTTGCCTCGTATGTGTACTATAATCCACTTTGAGTCCCTCCGAAATATAAATAAAGTGTATTATTATTATTATTATTATTATTATTATTATTATTATTATTATAAACCAACTAATTAAATTCTTATATTGAAAGCAGCACAAAGTCGAAATGGCTAGAAACTATTTAAAATGCAAATGAGAAGGAAAAATACAACACCATTAAAAATAATTTTGGAGCAACGAGGGTGAAAGTCTGTTTAAAACAGGTGTTTGTGTGCCATGGAAAAAAATCAGATGGAAATTTGCTCTTTTGTGGGAGGAAGTTTGCCAGTCTGGGAGTAGCCCACCAACATACCTTTGAAGCTAATGGGACAGAGAGGAAACTTTCTCTTCCCACATGGCATACTTTTTTGGGGTTAAGATGGGTTTATTAACTTTATTAACTAAAAGTTATGAATAATTAGAAATGCATTGCCAATACATCTGCTGCGATAGGTGGTATCTTTCTGTGATCTCACAGGCGGAGAGTAGCATTGTATATTTTTTGGTAAACTTCCTTGGATTAATTTGAGAGAATTAACCCGTGAAGATGGATTTGGGAAATTTCTGTGAAGCCTCTAAGATGGTTCCTTGTTTTAAAAAGAGATCTATGTAATGTTTATTTCCACTCATTATCTTAATATTTTACATCAGGGTGGGGTTTATGTGGCCTTGCTGATTTTATTTATTTATTTCATATCAAAAGCATTGCATAAATTAGTGTAAAACTGATAAAAATACAAGGCGCACAAGTGGCTAAATATCTTTTGACCAAAAACGGGCAATAGCAACGGCATTGCCTGTAGCCTCCAACAATTCTTCCTCTGTACATGAGGCAGGACATTGTGGACAAGCATACAGATACGGGGTTGTTTGTTCTGCTCCACAGTCGCACAAAGTGGATTCTTTTAGGCAGTGCCATTTTGCCAGATTGTTTTTTGATCTGCCCACTCCACTTCTGAGTCTGTTCAGGGACTTCCAAGTTGGCCATTCTTGGTTTGCCCCTGGAGGAAGACCCTCGCGGGGAGCCATCCAATTGGGATTTCCTGGTTTAGCTGTTTTTGCTGTTGCTGGGGGGATGTTAAGAGGAGTGGTGATTCTCATTCTCCTTGATTTGAGTCTACTGGGAGTCTATTTGAGTCTTGCAGCTAACTGTTAGTTTGTTTGTTTATTTATCACACTTATACCCTGCCATTCTCAAACCCGAAGGGGACTCAGGGCGGCCTTACAGAGGCCACAGTTTGATGCCATACATGAAAATACATCAATAAATAAACAAAAGCATTAAAATCCAACCAATTAAAACATAAATATTAAAACAGCAATGAAAATCACACAATCCAGGTCATATCCCAGGGCCATTCTGAGTCATTCTTTAGCTTATTGCACTGTTCCCATTTACTGACCAAAAGCTTGATCCATAAGCTATATTTTTAGTTTCCCCCCGAAGGTCTGGAGGGAAGGGGGCCAATCTAATTTCATTGGGAGGGACAAGGGGCCACCACTAAGTAGACCCTGTCTCTTATTCCCCAATACTGTGGAGATACTAACTAGGACCTCTGGGAAATGCAATATAGCAATGGCAGAAGAATGACAAGATAAAACATAGCAATCTCATACCTCATCAGGACACCCATCAGGTCTTGACAGCCTGACATTGTTTTTCAAAAGAACTATTAAATGGAATGCGATCTGGTTTTGCTTATCATCGCCAATCATGCGCATGAACTCCTAAAAAGGAAAATCCAAAGCCAAATGTTTGTAAGGTTGTTTTAATTTTATTACATATATATGTTCACTTTTATATGCTAAGAATGAGGTGGGAGTCAGCCAATAATAATAAAATACAGATTTTTAATACTCAAGAAAAATATAAAAAACAATCCCATTAAAAACATTATAGGAAAAAATACAAACATTATGAAAATATGAAAATGAAAACCTCACTCAGTAACAGAATGGCTTTAAAATATAGGTGTTTAAAGGAAAATTTGGTGTATTGTATTATATATATATATATATATATATAGTACAAATTAACACAAAGGTGAAGTGGCCCTCTGTGATGTTACTAGGAAAGAAAAGTGATGTGTATGGGGGAAAGGGAAAGAGCCACAAAAAGAGCTATGCTGCCATGAAGACATTGTGAGGCAGGGTCTTTCAGAACAGAAGGGGGAAAGGGGAGGGGAAGGACAGAAAGAAAGAAGGGAAAGAAAGGTATGAAGGAAAGGGGAGGGAGACAGAAAAAGGGGGAAGGAAGGAGAGAAGAAAAAGGAATGAGCAGAAGGGAAGAGAAAGAAGTGATGAAAGCAGGGGCGGAAGTGGCCCCAGTGACACCCAGGCAATGCCAGGTAGACTTAAGTCACTTCGTTTTGCACACAGCTTCCCCAAAACACATATTTTATTTTATATGACTGTCCTGTAATTTGCTCACTTATATATGATGTTTCTATGATTCAGAATATAAAAGGGCGGGGGGGGGGGGTTGAGGAGAGAATAGAAGGAACGAGAGCAGGTTGGCTGAATGTGCACTCATCTGATAAAACATTTACTAACCACGGGTGGACTTCTGTTCTTGTCTGTATACGTGAAAAGTTCATACAGGACCACACCGAAACTCCACATATCTGAAGCCACAGAAAATTTGTTGTCTGTCAGTGACTCTGGTGCATACCTATTAAAAATGACAAAGGATAAAAAGTCTGAAAGCCTAATGCATATCAATATAATAGTAATATTAATAATAATAACAACAACAACAGTAACAATAGTCTACTTTATTTATAGGAGCCCCCGGTGGCGCAGTGGGTTAAAGCACTGAGCTGCTGAGCTTGTTGATCGAAAGGTCGCAGGTTCGATTCCGGGGAGCGGCGTGAGCTTCCGCTGTCAGCCCTAGCTTCTGCCAACCTAGCAGTTCGAAAACATGCAAATGTGAGTAGATCAATAGGTACCACTCCGGCGGGAAGGTAATGGCGCTCCATGCAGTCATGCCGGCCACATGACCTTGGAGGTGTCTACGGACAACACTGGCTCTTCGGCTTAGAAATGGAGATGAGCACCACACCCCAGAGTCAGACATGACTGGACTTAATGTCAGGGGACTACCTTTACCTTACTACTTTATTTATATTCTGCTTTATCTCCCCAAAGGGACTTGGAGCAGATTGCAGTGCATATGAGGCAAACATTCACAGCCTTTTCACACAAACAATGACATACAGTAGACAGATAAGGTAAAGGCCTTCCTTGTTTTCCATCTCCAGCGTCTGGAGGCAATGCTCAACTTCCAGCCATGGGGAGGTGTTGTTGGTTTTTTTTTTTTCATGTCAAAGGAGCCTGCTGTCCGCAGACATCTCTTTTGCTGACATGTCTGCATGGGGTGCCCTTTTACCTTCCTGCCAAGTTGGTACCTATTGATCTACTCGCACTGCATGCATTCGAACTGCTAGGTAGACAGGAGCTAGGACTGACAGTCGGAAGCTCACCCGACCCGCGGCTTCGAACTGTTGACCCTCCTGTCAGCAGCTTTCCTGCAGCTAGCGGCTTGAACTGCTGTGCTACTGCGGTTAATATAATGCTTTTATTACACCCTTAACAGAGTACAGAACTTTCCAAATGATCCCTATTGAAGAGACAAAGCTTTTATTTAATAACTGCACTTTTCTAATCTGCACTCAAGCAACACTACAATAAATAATAAATACATTGTATTTCTTACCACTTTTTCTCAAGGCTCAAGGTGAGGTACAACATAGTTAAAGTACACAGATTAAACATAAGACCATTCTTAAAAAACACAGACCTAAGACTAGAACACACTAAAATCTTTCATACCTAATAAAATGTACATTTCAAATTCATAGTTTACAACTGACTGGGTACAAACGGAAACATACCAGAAGATTGGACTCTCTCCTGGTTCCTTGACTTTGTAATATTCTTTGTCCTGCGGCAGGACTTTTGTCAAGCCGAAGTCTCCAATCTTCACTCTGTTTTCATGCTCCACCAAGATATTTCTGGTCGCTAGATCCCTATGAACATATCTTTTTGATCCCAGATACTCCATGCCCTGTGGGTCAACAAAATTACAGAATCAAAATTGACTGACTTTAAGAAGCCTAAAAGAGAGAGACTAAAAGATCCAATGAACAGTATAGTTAAGAGTAGGTTATGTCAGGTGTATCACACCTATTCATGGACTAAGATAACACTGTTAGAAACATAAAATAAGCGGTGCAAAAAAAGTATTGAATATCCCCCAAAATTGATCAAGCTTGGCAAATTTCCGTCTATTACCACTAGATGTCATTATTGTGGTGACTGTCAAGTGAAGGAGCGGCAAGCGGAGAGGATAAACGATAGGAGGTCTTATCCTTGATCCAAGGAGAGCTAACAATATAGTTATCATTTTGACCCTGAGAATAAGATCCTGATCTGATGCCCAATGGCAAGCTGAGTGCTCTGATAGACACTTCCTTGTTTTTTTATTAGATGACATGGCTGTGAAAGCCTGCTATCAGTAAATAAAAGGATCTTGTCTTGTCTTTGAGACAAAGTAAAAGTAAAGGTTTCCCCTTGACACTAAGTCCAGTCGTGTCCCACTCTGGGGAGTGGTGCTCAACTCCATTTCTAAGCCAAAGAGCCAGCATTGTCCACAGACACCTCCAAGGTCATGTCACCGGCATGAAGCGCCATTACCTTCTCACATTTGAATGTTTTCGAACTGCTAGGTTGGCAGAAGCTGGGGCTGACAGCTGGGCCTCACCCCACTCCCCAGATTCGAAACACCGACCTTTCGGTCACCAAGTTCAGCAGCTCAGCGGTTTAACCCGCTGCGCCACCAAGGGCTCTTTGAGACTACTTAAGAGAAAGAAAACTTAAAACTTCCAATCCAGTTTTAAAAATCTACTGAAGATCAAAGGTTTGGTTAAAAACATGGCTTTTTAGCAAGCCTTTGATCTTGAGTAGATTTTTAAAGGTTAGTTTGACGATGTACTGTTGGTGTCACTCCGGCACTGGGGTATGTCAACTGTAAACAACCTCTTTTTATCCACAGCTATGACAATGTTTTTTACAAATTTTATGTTTTATTATGTGCTTATGTGTGCGCGTGATTGTAATTTCATGTTTTTATTGTTTACGTGCGGCACTTCGCTGTGCTTTGTTAGCAGCCTCCAGTACCTCTGGGGAGATGGCGGCAGGTTACAAATATTATTATTATTGTTGTTGTCGTTGTTGTTTTATAAGACCTTTACCCTTCTCTGCTGAAGAGTGTGGATACCTCTGCAAACTATAAATGCCAGGATTCCATAGCGCTGAACCATGGCCCTTAAAGTGGTATCAAAATGCATTCATTCCACAGTGCAGATGCATTCTCTGTGACAAAGTTCATGAAGATCAGATGCTGCTACTGAAATTAACAAAATACAACTGCATCGATTAACCATTAGAGAAAACTGTGCCGAATTAAATCCTCTCTTTGCCCCCACTTTCTTCTTCTGCTTATTTTCTCCTCCAGGTTGTCCATTCGCCTGCTCCATGGTAAGTTGCCAGGGAGTGGCCTGCCATTAAGCACAAATGGAGGTTTGCCCAGTCAAAAGAAGCAGCTTGCTGTTGGTATTATTATTACTCTCACTATGCACTAAGGCACCTTCTCGCTTTTTGAAACTCAAGCTGCCTACCCTGCTGGCTCAGAAGAAAAGTCCTTGCAGCTCCCTGGCAGGCATTGCCAACCTGTATTCAGTTACCCAAGGCTGATTTGCCACCCCAACCCATTCTGCCCATTACAGCCTTTAGAAGACAGTCTAGTATTGGACCACATCATAGTCTATCTTGTCCAGGGGGTGGCAAACATATACCAACTATGGGTGTTCCTGTTGTGCCCGACCTGTTTTTACACCCCTTGGCATATTCTAGATTTTTGTCCCTTGGGAAAAAAAAATACTTTCTATTTTGGTCAAACAGGGGAAGAGGAAGAGAACTGCTATTCCTGAAAGCCTTACTCAATCATGATATGCCTTACTGAAAAGTCATATTTCAAAGTTTTTTTGTTTTTAAGTCCAATGTGAAGTTCTGGTCACGTCTATATTTTAAAAAAATGTTGGAAGACACCATCTGTCAAAGGAACAGTCTGGAACAGGATCCTGAGTATGGGCAAAATTAGCACCTGAACCTGCCAAATTTGCCAAGTCTGATCTAGTCTGGTATTCCATGTCCAACAGCGGCCAAGCAAATGCCCCTGGGTGCTGACATACAAGACAAATATAGCACCATTTCCAGCACTGTCTGCATCTGATAAAATCTATAACCTTGTTCCTTTTCTACTCCAGGGAGCTGGGAATTATCCTGATCAACAGGAGGCATATAACAACAACAGTCATTACTATGGGCAAAACTTTGCCAAGAAATGTCTCACTATGAGAAATGGCTCATCTGCAAGACAACGAAATAGTTATGAAATGAAGCTCAAGAACACCACATGACCACGTTCACCTATGTCAGTTGTCTGCCATCTCTTACATCATTTACCAGTAAACAACGGATAGGTAGACCCTGTTTCCAAGCTCAATGTGGAAGAATGACATATCTTTCTACTACTCTTCCAGTCAGGGGATTGAATCCAGTCTACCTTGTACAGTAGAGTCTTGCTTACCCAACCTTTGCTCATCCAACAATTCTGTATTATCCAATGCAGTCTGCCTCCTGCTCAGATTCACAGCTGTTTCAATAAATTGCAATGTTTTGGTGCTAAATTTGTAAATACAATAATTACTACATAACGTTACTGTGTATTGAACTGCTTTTTCGGTCAATTCGTTGTAAAACATGTTGTTTTGGTGCTTAATTTGTAAAATCATAACGTAATTTGATGTTTAATAGGCTTTTCCTTAATCCTTATTATCCAACATTTTTGCTTATCCAACGTTCTGCCGGCCTATTTATGTTGGTTAAGCGAGACTCTACTGTACTTCAATGCTAGCTGGGGAATGATGACAATGATAGTTCAACATGCCTGGAGGTACCAGGTTGAGGAAGACTGGTCTAGAATAGAGTTTGGAAAAGTAACTTTTCTCAGCTTTTTGTCTTACTGTACAACAAGTGGGAAAACCACAAATATCAAACATGTGCTCCTAGAGCAAGCATACTAGTATTAATGACAGCAGCAGAGATGATATTACCTTACATATCTGAGAAGCATACTGCAGGAGTTTCTTATGATCCAACCTGTCCTTGTTTTTCTGGAGATAGTCTCGTAAACTTCCATAGGGCAAATATTCCATGATCAGCTTCAGATTTCTGCGACCTTTCCAAGCAAAGAACAAATGGAAATATTTAAGATTATGATTTACAGCGATTCCTTCCTAAAGAAACTCAGTTCTGATATCTTTCCTTATAGTAGTAAGGCTAACTTAACATGAGTTATTAGAATCAAAGAATCGTAGAGTTGGAAGAGACCTTGTGGGCCATCCAGTCCAACTCCCTGCCAAGAAGCAGGAAAATCACATTCAAAGCACCCCCAACAGATGGTCATCCAGCCTCTGTTTGAAAGCCTCCAAAGAAGGAGCCTCCACCACACTCCGGGGCAGATAGTTCCACTGCTGAACAGCTCCCACAATTTGGAAGTTCTTCCTCATGTTCAGGTAGCATCTCCTTTCTTTCCTGTAGTTAGAAGCCATAATTCCGCGTCCTAGTTTCCAGGGCAGCAGAAAACAAGCTTGCTCCCTCCTCCCTATGACTTCCCCTCACATATTTATACATGGCCCTCATCATGTCTTCTCTCAGCCTTCACTTCTGCAGGCTAAAATGCCCAGCTCTTTAAGCCACTCCTCATACGGCTTGTTTTCCAGACCCTTGATCATTTTAGTCGGAGAAAGTCTATACCATGTGTGACTTTATACACAATCCTTTGGCCAAATGTGACATATAAGAAGTCACCATTTTCCTGGTGTGGACACAACATACTCTGAGCTCAGTGAAAGAATGAACTTCATAAAAAAAGGTATTATTGCTGGGTGCAAAGTCAGAGAAGTTCTTGGGGGCTGAGTTCAAGTAAGTGGATGGGGCTAAAGACAAAAAGAGGGGGACAAAAACAAGGAGAATCACCAGCCGTTACTCTCCAGCCAAATCAACGGAATTCGTGTAGGACTCAACGTTTGGGGACATTCAAGAGGACAATAATTCCTTTTTATTAAACAAGTGGTTAAAGGGAAATGATTCTCCATGTGCCTCAGTTGGCCTGTGGAGTGTATTACCCCAGTTGAATCTTAAATAAGATGATGTACTTGTACGATTTCTGTGTCTAGCCACAAGCCTTTGTTGTTCATGTCCAGTCAAGGAGTGGCTGGATTCGATCATTGATTTTTCAAATGGTGATGCAATCAACCAGTGAACTGCTTTAAAGGTACTGCAAACAGATTCAATTCCCAGGTGTGCAATCTGTACAAATCATATAAATCTATGCAAGGGACATTTCTTCTCTAGATGGAAATCATGATGCAATTCTCCATTATGAGAAGATGATTAACCACAGCTGTTTCATATAAAAAATAAATAGACAATAATAACTCTAACGTGGTTAGAGAACAGACAGGAAAATCTTAATATTCTCAAAACTGTGCAAATGTTCAAATTCTGCCTGCATCAGAAACTAATGTCAAAAACTGATCATTAATCCCAAACAGAATGAAACCCTTCAACCAACTGCTAAATGGCAATTCAACACTTTTGACAGATACCACTGAATCAATGGGGCTACTCTAGTCAGGGATTCGGCATGGTGTATTGGTTTGAGCATTGGACTGGGAATTTAGGACACAAGGGGTCAAATACTTGCTTGGCCATGGAAGCCAACTGGGTAAATCACAGACCCCTTTTACACTGCCATATAAAATCCAGATTATCTGCTTTGAATTGGATTATATAGCAGTATAAACTCATATAACTCAGTTCAAAGCAGATAATGTGGATTATCTGCTTGGATAATCTGGATTATACCCTGTTTCCCCGAAAATAAGATAGTATATTAGATTAAGTTTTGCTCCCAAAGATACGCTAGGTCTTATTTTCAGGGGATGTCTTATTTTTCCATGAAGAAAAAAAATCACATTTATTGTTAAACAAAAAAAGAAAGTTTATTATATACTGTATACTAGGTAAAAGTAAAGGTTTTCCCCTGACATTAAATCCAGTCGTGTCCTACTCTGAGGGTTGGAGCTCATCTCCATTTCTAAGCCGAAGAGCCAGCGTTGTCGCAGACACCTCCAAGGTCATGTGGCCAGCATGACTGAATGGAGCGCCATTACCTCCCCGCCAGATCTACTCACATTTGAATGTTTTTGAACTGCTAGGTTGGCAGAAGCTGGGCCTAACAGCAGGAGCTCACGCTGCTCCCCGGATTAGAACCTGCGACCTTTCAGTTAGCAAGTTCAGCAGCTCAGCGGTTTAACCCACTGTGCCACTGGGGGCTCCATACTGTATAGTAGTTGCCAGTATATAATAACTATACTGGCCCTCACACACAGGGCCACAAAAATAAGGGCTGTAAAATACCTGGCTGCCCCACATTATCTGGGGACTGTAATGATTTCCCACAGCAGTACCTGGACCATTTGCACAGCAGTGATGGTACTGCAACTTCCAGCCACCAGGGGGAGCATGCTTCCAAACAAAAACTTTGCTAGGTTTTACTTTCAGGAGAGGTCTTATCTTCAGAAATTCAGCAAAATCTCTACTAGGTCTTATTTTAGGAGATGTCTTATTTTTGGGGAAACAGGGCATGTCAGTGTAGAAGGGACCACACACCATCAGAATAATGCAACAGCAATCCCTCTTTGAAGAAATCCTGCCAAGAAAACCCTGTGATCGGATCACTTTAAGTCAGAAATAACTTGAAGGTACAACTCTAGTTGGATCTAGCAATTGGATCTACATATGAATGTTGAAAATTGTTGGGGGGAAAGCAAGCAAGAGGTATTCCATTGATTTTATTTTTTTCAAACACTTGGAAAAAATGTTAGAAGGAGGGAATCATTCTGAAATGTTCTATATATATTCCACAGAACTACTTTTAGAATGTTATGCCTGGAGTTCCAGAAATGGTGACAATGCCATGTTTAGAAGAACACATGGTTTCCTCTTTTGTTCTCTGTTTGCAACTACAAATAGATACATGCTGAACAGTGGCTAAAGAGTAGAGACAGTGTCCTGGAATGATGCTTTCTGTTTTTTTGTCCTATAATAGTCTCCTCATCACTGACCCCTAAGTATCTGGGGTTGCATCATAAACTTTGCCTCTGGAAAATCCACAATGTCCTGTGAAGTTTCCAATATACCTCACAAACTCTAAGGATGCCTGCCATAGATGTGGGCGAATTGTCAGGAGAGAATGCTTCTGGAACATGGCCATACAGCCCAGAAAACTCACAGCAACCCAGTGATTCCTGCCATGAAAGCCTTTGGCAACACAGAAACATTTATATTTTGTAAAAATATAAATGAAAGATTTTCATGAGATATGTTGCATCCCCATTTGTTATTTCAATTCATGTATGTGTCCGTATCTCTTATAAGGGGTTGGTTTAACCTCTGGTTTGCAAGTAAAACTGAATTACTGTGATAGCATGTCTAAAAAGTATGTCACCAACATGAAATATCTGGAAAACTCTAATAGAGACTATTTAGAGTAAAAAATAATCCTTCCAGAATTCCAAATTTTGTGCATATCTAGGAAGAAATGGGATATGGTGGATCTCACTCATTCCTACAAATAAATTGTTTCAGCACCAAACTACTGGCACTTGTCCACCTCTGGGCTAAAGAATATGCTTAAAATAAGAAAAAAAATCCAGTGAGAATTTACTGGGACCACAACGGAATTTGGTTAATGTTCTGGAACCTGTATTCAATAGCAAGTATGAAGAACACAGGTTTCCACCATGTAGCTGTGGTCTCGGCTATATAACAAATCCGTTTCTAATTAAGATTTTATTCTAACCACTGCACTCCTTGATTCCCATTAATGGGAAACATTTGATAAATTATCCAGCAGCTGCTAACTTTTCTCTGGTATAAAAAAAATGAACAACAGCAATGATTTATGAAGCATACCTGCACTGTAGCACACTCCTTTGTACTTGACAATGTTGTCATGTTGCAAAGATTTGAGGATTTCAATTTCTCTTTCAAAGTCTCTCAGGTGTTCTTCTGTGCTGTGCTGCAGCTTCTTCACAGCGACCACCTCCCCAGTGTTGTCTTGTAGCGGATCGTATCGGCACATTTCCACACTCCCAAAATTGCCCTGTGAAGCAAATGAAAAGGGAAAGGTACAACCAGGAAATGGGGAACAGTAGTGCATTTTGTTCCAGCATCTTTGGGCAATTCAACCTTCATTGCTCAGCAAGTCTCCTACCTTGCCAAGTTGCTGTAAGAACTTGAGGTGTCTCTCTTCAAAATATGTAGGGTCCTTGTTTTCAAAAGCCCCAGAAAGTCCAAGGCCACCAGTTCTCATATTTGGTAACATGTCACTTTCTGTCAATAGTTCATAATCTTGAAAAACAACAACAACAAAAGATTTATTATTTGACCAGGACAATCTGAAGAGAAACAGAGACAATGTTACTTTTGCTGATACTAAATCTCAACCTATAAGATCATCATAAAATAACTGCATTATTACTAGGTAAAAATCCAACTTATATTCAGCAAGAATGGATCCACTGAATCGACAGAATCTGGTGATCCGGTATTTATGTAAATGCCCACTACTTCCATTGATCTACTTTGATTGGAACTCCAAAATTGATGTAGACCAAGAAATACAGGAGAAAGGGGCCACTGTCTGCCCTTCCCTTCCCCAAAGCCCCAGCTAATTCCAAAGTAAAGAAAATCTCTAAATATTCTGTTTTCACAAAATGTTGTACAAATAGTAGAACTTACTTTAATTGCTAATTCAGAAATACACTGCACTGGCTACAATATCTGACCCCCTTACACCATTTAACATACCTGGAGTGAACAAACTGTTAAGATCACGTATAATTGCTCTGAAAGAGGGCCTAAAATCTGGTTCATAATCCATACAGTTATTTATAAGATTTGCCAGTTCAGTCCAATTTGGAGCAGGAAGTTGGTGCCTGTCTTCATAAAACTGTAGTTTCTACAATTCAAAACAAGCAAACGTAATTGAAATAACTGGAAATTCATAAAATTCTGCAAAGTCTTGAAGCTAACTAGGTTTTCTTATGACATCTCTTATAAAAAACCACCACAATTAAAGAAGAAAGGAATGTTTGCCTTTAACATGGCAGTGGTGTTTACATAAAGTAATTCTCCCAAGCTCTCTCTGGTCACCCCTGAAGAGAAGGCAGGAATAGAATAAGGATGCACGCCAAGAACTCTTTCAGAACCATGAAATCTAATGTAGGACAGATTCACACAAAGATACCGTAACCAAGTGCTTGAGTAGCTACAAATGAATACACAATACAAATTAAATATTTAGCATGACCTTCAGATTGGGATGGTCTTCACGTGGATATGTGAAACCATGGAGAATAGTAAACCCTTTAAAAATGAACTTCTGGCAAAAGAATACCATAGGATGAAAGAAATGGTATTTTGTTGAATGTGGATAAATGAAACCGCAAATATTGGTCCCACAGATTTGGGGCTCATACTGTAGAGCAGGGGTCCCCAAACTAAGACCAGCGGGCCAGATACAGTCCTCCAAGGTCCTTTACCCAGCTCCTGCCCTAAACTTTAGACTTAGGGTTGCCCTAAGTCTAAAAAGACTTGAAGGTACACAACAACAACCTTAATTAACTTGACTATCTCATCAGCCAAAAGAAAGTACACACTTCCCACTGAAATACTTGTAATTTAGGTTGGTTAAAATGGTTCTTCATTTTAAATCTTGTATTGTTCTCTCACTGATTTTTGCACTACAAATAAGATATGTGCAGTCTGAGGGATAGTGAACTGGCCCTTGGCTTAAAAAGTATGAGACCCTTGCTGTGGAGAGAGAGAAATTTTGCCCGCCACTCCGCTCTTACTCTCTGCAAATCCAGTGCTGCGAGGGGCTTGTCTCCCCCACTGCAGATCTCCCACAAGGTGGTCCCAAAACTCCACTTGTCCGTCGGCAAACTCAGCCGCTTGGGATTTTCGATGCACTCAGGTGGAACCCATGGGATTCTCTCTAGAAGAACTAGACAAGCATGAAGAAGCAGAAGGAAAGAATCAAAACATTTTAATGATTTTTAAAGGGCGCTTCAACTGGCTACCTGACTGCAGTGTGTTTCAAATCGATGGATCTAATTTCAAAGAAGTATATGATTCACGAGGGCAACACATAACCATTACACACACAAAAAAGTTAGAAATAGTTTAATGAGTTATCAAGTTTAATCCATCATTTTGAGCCAGGAACAAATTTTATAAATGATTCCACAAATGGCGAATACATTAAGCCTTATGTTGTAGGGTTGCCATATTGCAAATGACTGAGGGCCAGGTGTTGTTTGTACACTAGGAGAGCAGTAATCCTTTGAAAGTATATGCCTCACCCTTTCAAGGGGTAAGAGTTTCATTCATGGGCGATTAGCGGCTACAGAGATATAACAATTTCAAACCAGGCACATTTTTTTGAAAACCCTGTATCACAGGTATGGGCAAACCCAGGAGTGGGGACCGGATGTGACCCATTAGGCTCTTTTCTTAGGCCCTCCTCTCTCTCATCATCCTATTCTATCCTTCCTTCCTTCTCTCTTTCCTTCCCCCTCCCTTCCTTATCTCTATCTCACATTTCCTTCCTTCCCTCCTTACATCCTTCCCTCCTTCCTTCCTTCCTTCCTTCCTTCCTTCCTTCCTTCCTTCCTTCCTTCCTTCCTTCCTTCTCTCCCTCCCTTCCCTCCCTCCATTCCCTTCCATCCATCATTTTTTCTTCCTTCTCTTTTTCCTTCCTCCTTTCCTCTTGGGGGATGTTTACTTGAGAGAAGAGAAGGTAGAGAGGGAACATGAGAACCATGTTTCAAGATTTAAAAGGGTGTCCCACTGAGGAGGAGGGAGGGGGAAAACTGACTTCTGCTGTTCTAGAGACCAAGGCACAAGGAACCAATGCTTTCAAATGGCAGGGAAAAAGATTCGACTGAAAAGATTAGGAATAACTTCCTGAGAGTAAGAGCTGTTGGAGAGTGGCATAGGCTGCCTGGGAGTGTTGTGGAGTCTCCTTCTCTGGAAATTTTTCCAGAGAGGCTGTCTATCGGGAGTGCTTTGATTGTGCCTTCCTCCATGGCAGGGAGTTGGTCCGGATGGGGGTCTCTTCCTGCTCTAGGATTCTATATCAGGAGTAGGCAATATGGGATCTAATTGATACACTTTTTTTCTCTCCCGTCCACCATCTCATCCTGACCAAGGCTAACTCTTTTGGGATCCAAACCTTTCCTGTCTTTCCTTCACTTTTTGCCCCCGAAAGAAAAGAGGAAGGGGAGGAAAGGGCAGCGAGGGGACTTGGGGAGAGCCCCCTCCCTCTTGGCTTGCCCACCCTGCTCTGGCCCATTATGCGGGCCGCAAGTTAGACAGTTTGCCCATGCCTACTGTATCATGTGAGCTTGTTTGGAAAGTTGTGATATAAATCCTACCAATAAGTAAACAAAATAAAATGTACTTTACAAGAAAAATGAAGCTCCATTATCTATGACCTATACAAAGTATATAAAATGTTCAACCAGAACCTACAAGTGTGCTTGTTTGTAATCTTGCTGCAGTTGCCATTATTTGTTTTATACTTTTAAGATTAAGGCTACCTTCTTCAATGTGTCCTTCCCCTTTAAAAATATATTTGGCATTTCATTCATTTAACAGGAAATATCTATAGTTTCATGTAGCAGAGGATTTGATATTCCATGAACTGATTAAAATAGCCAATGTTTGGAGAAGGCTCATGGCTTCGTCCTGCTGCTCAAAACAGAAATGGTGGGACAAACAACCAGTGCAGCGAGAGCAAGGAGATAATTGCTCCCTGACATTTTCAAGGTAGAACACAAATGACCGAAATGGATGAATCAGACTTACTGTCTTTTGGCAACACTGTAATACCGATACCAGGATCACTGAGCTTGATAAAGGGAAGATTCCCAGACTTCCTATCTTCTTCTCTGATAAGCAAGATATTTTTTGCACATACATTCCCATGAACAAGGTTTTTATCCTCCTGGTAAAGATAAACATGAGGGTTTAATTTCCCCCCAAAACATAAATAACGCTGTGTCGGGATTTCTCAAGGTGGCATTTTTATTTCAGTAACTACACAAATAATTTTAAAACAAAAATACAACATGAATGTATTACAATTCCCTCCCATCCCAATGAAGACAAAGAAGGAAGACAGATAAGAACTCCATGATAATCCAAGGTTTCGTGAAACTATCTATGGGAGTTAATCTACCCTATGGATATTTTAATAACCAGGAAAACTGCATAATCTACATAAATTATTTTTGCCCCTTTCACAGTCTACCAATTGTAGCCGAGTGGAATAACTGGGTGGAAGAAAGAAGTTTCCAAAAGAATGAGCTTTTTAATTGTGGAATAAAAATAATAGCATATTTACACTGAAGCACATTCTTTTTTTTTTCTTAAATAAGTTTTATTACCCAATTGGCTGGCTACCAAAAGAACAGATTGTTAGACTACAGAGGTCATGGATTAATTTTTTGTATCAGTCATTCTGTTACTGGAAACACACAAAAAAAAATCCTCTCTGTATTAACACAGATTATCTTTCACTTATTCTGATTTAACCTGTCACAACAGTGGTTGGTTCCTAAGTTAGTGGGCAAACATCATGATCAAGATGCATGAAGGAAGAGATCGAAATGTGCTCCCTAAGAATGGAATGGGGGTCGTAATAATTTCTAGACCATGTTTCTAGAAATGATGTAACACCAGCACATTCCCATGCAGTGCAGCAGGGCAGCATGCGCTTTGCATGTGGAAGTTACATGGTCCATCACCCAGCCTTTCCAGGGAAGACTAGGAAAGAGTTTTGCCTGAAACCCTGGGACCATTGCCAGTCAACCTTAGAGAGGGAATTCGCAAATCACACTGAACACCAAGGAGGCTGGAAGGGCTTCAGTCGATTATAGAGAAAAGAATGGCAGACCTAAATCTAGTAGGGAGAACACCATAAATAATCAGTCTGGACAGAGGGAGGTCTGTTTTGAGAAAAGGCAATAGTATCATTGCCTATAACAGATTGTAGGCTCCATTACAACCACTGAGGATGTCTGCCACAGATGCAGGCGAAATGCCAGGAGAGAATGCTTCTAGAGCATGACCATACAGCCCAAAAAACCTACAATCCATCCAATAGTTGTTTCCAAAAGAGGACAATAGTTTCCATTTTCCATCTCCTTTAAAGAAACGAGCACTACGGTGCCTCCCACTTCCCAACATACATACAGCAAAATCAGAAGTTTTCCATATTTGTTTAAAAGACAAATCATGGGATCTTATCTAGACAAGACTCCCTTGCACCACATTAAATTTTGAGAACGGAGCATTTATGTGAACAGTCTGGATCCTTAATTCAGCATATAAAAGGTACATATATGTACATATTTCACAAGTAGGAGTATTAACTAAAAGGAGGGAGGGCTACTTTGTTTTGGGCTTACAGTAAAAAAGCAACCCACTTACCAGAAAATGCATTGCCATTGCCAGCTGTTTCGCAACTTCCAGTTTCCATAAGATATTTATAGAATTTTTATTCTTCTTCAAATAGGTGTCAAGTGATCCAAATTTTACATACTCCTGTACCAGAATATCTGATTTGAAACAGATACAAGCAATGATTTATTTTATTTACTATATTTATACCCCACCCTTCTCACCCCACGGCTTATAGACCATGGCAAAATTTAATGCCGCATTACACAAACAATAATAAATATAACATATCAATTTAAAAACAGTTAAAATATAAATGCAATAAAACAGATTAAAAACACCCATTGTGCTGAGTTCATAGTCATTATTCAAGCTGCTACCGATGTTACATTACTCCTCGAACTCCTGTGTGCAAAGCCAAGTTTGTAACTTTTTCCTGAAGACAAGGAGGGATGGGGCCAGTCTGATATCACTGGGGAGGGAGTTCCATAATCAAGAGGCCACCACTGAGAAGGCTCTAGTTGGCTCATAAAGGGAGATACGTTCAGACAGGTAAGTTGGACCAGAAACATTCAGGGCTTTATATTCAAAGCCAGCACTTTGAATTGGGCCTGGTACCAAGCTGACAACCAGTGCAGCTGACATAACAGGGGGGTTGTACGCTCCCTCCAGTAAGAAATCTGGCTGCCACCCATTGTACTACTTGGAGCATCTGGCAGTCTTCAAAGGCTGCCCCATGTACAGCGCATTGCAGTAGTCTATTTGAGATGTAACAAGTACAGAATTCAAGTTGCCTAGTTACTGCACTTTGAACTGTTCTAGTTCATTATAGCCTGCAAACTACATAACCGACTTTTCACTTACTTCATTTAAATGTTTAAACTACATAACCGACTTTTCACTTACTTCATTTAAATGTTTATCTGCTCCAACTATTGGCCAATTTGTTTTAAAGGGCTGCTTTAAAAGTAAGGTAAAAAAGCATAAAGAAGCTTGCATAAGGCAATAGAGCAGCATTTTAAATGCAAAAGTCTGCAAAAGAGGGCATGAGGAAAAATGTTTTTAAAAATATATTAAGGATGGGCAACTGTGGTCCTCTAGTTATTTGGACTACACGATACCGCATAACTGCCTATGCTCACATGGCCCACTGGGAGCTGCAATCCAACAACAACATCTGGAGGTCCACAGTTCCCTACTCCTGCTTTACACCAAACCATAGTGCATCACAAATTGACAAGGGAACACAGATGTCGTCATGAAACAACCTGTCCCTGATAAGGATGTAAATAAATTCTGAAACGACTATTTACAAAGCGGGAAACAAGAATAGCTCTCTAATTAGAGTACACAAACAATTAGCTGGTGTTACTCACTTTCCTCTCCACAGACACAAACTCCATAATTTAATACCAAGTGCTTGTAAGAAAGCTGGCTCATCATGCTGGCGGCTTCAAAGAAAGACTGCAAGAGAAAGGGAACAACAATTAGCAGAGCGAAACCCAATGAGACCTCTTTGGAATTAAATTTAATTAAAACCACCTTTATTTTCACATACTTCATCTCTGCATCTTCGGCAGCAATATTACATAATAGATTATTTACCATTAGTCTCCAAAGGCCTCTTCTTTAATAATAAATTATGCCAATCTGATAGCAATAGGAAAATCCCTGATGAATGCATAAGTACAGTTTACATTTGCTGAGACTTGCCAAGAAACGACTGATGATCTTGGATTCAAAGTAATTTTTTTTTGTAAAATATTCAAAAGACAAAATTCACACAGGATGGAGAGTTTAATAGCTTTGACATTCAGTGAATGTCAACTTCATTTGTCCTTACAAGACACAGAGAAACTGTGATCACCTCCTTGGTGATTTCTTGATCAGGAAATTTACTCTTCAAAAATTCATGAAGAGGATTCCTCACATAGATTAAAATGTACTTATGTTTGGGCATATATGTTTAAAGGCAAATGTCAATTTTGTATGGAAGAGAGCTGAATTCTGAGAATTAAGTAAATTGCAGAAATTAAACAAATGTGTATATTTTCTATAAATTACTGTGCTCATTCTAGTCATGGAAGAAGGAAGGCAAAAGTGCAGGCATTAGCCTATAAAACCCTAAATGATTCTGGGCCAGCTTATCTGTCCAAACATATCTCCCTCTTTGATCCATCTCAGAGGCTAAGATCGTCGGGTGAGGCCCTGCTCTTGGTCCCGCCCCCTTCGCAAGCCTAACTGGTGGGGATGAGAGACAGGGCCTTCTCAGTGGTGACCTCTCATCTGTGAAACTCCTTCCCCAGTGATATTAGATCAGCCCCCTTCCTCCTGGCCTTCAGGAAAAAACTAAAAACAAGGCTCTGGGATCAGGTCTTTGGTCGGTAATGGGAGCAGTGCAATTAGAGACTATCAATCAACATTGATGACTCGGACTGGCCCTGGATTATGACCTGGATTATGTGATTTTAAATTGTTGCGATGTTTTTAACTGGTTGTTTTTTAATTTTTTAGTTTATTTATCAATGATTTGTGTACACGCAGCATCAAATTGTTGCCTTTGTAAGGCTGCCCTGAGTCCCCTTTGGGGGTGAGAGAAAAGGGTGGTAAATAATAAATAAATAAATAAATAAATAAATGGAGAAGCTGAATCTTGTTGAAAACCTGTCCACTGCCAGTTGGAAATGTATTTGTTCCTTTCCTTTTTAAAATTTATGTTTATTAAAGTTTTTTCAAAATACATTGAAAGATGGGGAACATAAACGGTGTAGAGAAAAGCATGAATACATAATAGGGAGTAGATATAGATAGGAAAGGTATGGGAGATGGATAAGAGAGAAAGAGAAAAAAGGGGGAGGGAGCTGGGGAAGGCATGGGGTAGGGTAGGGTAAAGAAAGGGTAAGAAAGGTCCCAAGCATTTATTCTAAGGGATATCCAGTCTGTATTTTCAAAAGTTCCTACTCAACTATAAAAGCAAGAACAATGCAATTTCCAAAAGGAACAATGAGATACTCAGTATTCATAGCTACTGCTCTACTCAGAGCTTGGAAAAGTTGCTTTTTGGATTACAAGTTCCCCAGGAGCCTCCAGTCCAAAGGGCAATTTTTCCAAACTCTGGTGCTGCTCCTCTAGTCTTAGATATAATTGCATAATAATAATAATAATAATAATAATAATAATAATAATAATAATCGGACTCAGGGCGGATTCCAGCATATACAGACATAAAGGCAAACATTCAACGTCTATACACACATATACACAGATAAAGATAAATGCTTCCCCTTTCATCCCCGGCTCTGGCGCTCATTTCCATCCTAGGTGAAGTGGCCAGCGTGGTTGAATGGAGTGCCATTTACCTTCCTGCAGAGGTGGTACCTATTGATCTATTCATATTTGCATGTTTTCAAACTCCTAGGTTGGCAGAAGCTGCGGCTAACAGTGGAAGCTCACTCCGTCCTGTGGATTCGAATTGCCAGTCTTCCAGTCAGTAAGTTTAGCTCAGCGGTTGAACCCACTGCATCACCGCAGCCCCCTCTTATTGCCCAAGGAATACTCCAACTTGTACACCAACCTCAGAGTAGTTTCTGTGCACTTTATCCAGAACCTTCAGCAGGACTTCCGTCTGATACAGTTTACCGTAGTCTCCCACTTCTTTCCTCACACCTTTGAAAATTTTGGTGAAGGTACCTTGGCCAAGACTTTCATTCTAGGAGGGACAAAAAATGTTTTAACTACGTTAGCAGTAAACTAATTCAGGCAAACCTGAGCCTCTAACTCAATTACAGGAAGTGGATAATCTGAAGGGTAACGATTGCAAGCAACTGATTAGATTAAAATATCACACATTGATCCTACACATGTTTACTGAGTTGTATGTACACAAAAAAGAAGCAATCTTTAAAATGAATGCTGGGAACCTCTGTGCTGAATTTTGCATACACGTGCTATTCATAACTTAGAAACGCACTGTAGGAACTGCAATACTAAGAATGCCCAATCCCAAAAGCAATTTTTCCAAGTCCCATATATTTCCATAAACACTGCACACTTGATATCTGCTGGGGTTTGGCTCCAAGGCCTTGTGGATAGGAAACCTCACAGATGCTCAAATACCATTATGTAGGCAGTCCCTGGGTTACGAAAAAGACAGGTTCTGTAGGTCTGTTCTTAAGTTGAATGTGTATGTAAGCCAGAACAGCTACATTTTAAAGTGCAACTCCAGCTAAAATGTTTTTCTTTTATTTTTGGGTAGCATGTTTGTATTACTGTTTGTGCTCATGTTCAGAAGATTTCACTTCACTTTCTCTCCCTGTGACAACTGGATTTTAAAAATTTTGGCTTGTGGAGCCAAGGATTGGTAATGAAGTTTCAGTGGAGACTTCTTTTTTCTCATGATAACTCTTACAAGATAACTCTTTCCTGTTTGTAACTAGAAATCATATGTAAGTTGAATGTTTGTAACTCCTGTATGCAATGGTGGAGAAAAACAGGTTTGCTTTTTGTGATTTTTTTAAAAAAAATGCTCGTTATGGATGCCTGAATCCATGGATGCAGAATCCATGGATATGGAAGGCCAACTGTACTCCACATTCAAGTAATTTTATCACATCTAATATCCAATAATATGTTGAACAAGTTAAAACCCATTGCTTCCAATACAGATCCTTCAGAGATTCTATTGTTTACACTATTGTGAGAACATTCTTACTTTTCACTTCTACTTACTAACTCATAAAGCACCTTTCCTTTTATCCATTCACACTTTGCTCTTTCTCTGGAAGGGAAAAAGTGAAGTTGCCCTCTTCCTTTGTTGCCTAGCCCAGTGCTGAGCTCATTCTATGTTATGCTATTAGTCACCTCGAGTAAAGAGAGACATTATGCAAAAATAACCTAAAGTGTTGAGGACTAGAGCGGTAGACGGAAGTGAGGGCAGAATACAGCATAATCTTTTTATCTGCTCTTCTGGGAGAGCACAACACAAGTCAAGGTTGTAATCCTATGCAAAGTTACATGAAGGCTAAGTTCTCCTGAACTCAAAATGATGTTACACTTAGATCAAATAGTTTACTCATTCATACTGCCTGTTTCTGGCTTTCTTTTTCCTAGTCAATGCATTCATTGTAAGAGTTCTGCACAAGTCATCTTCCTCCCAATAATGGGATTCAGAAAAAGCTAAAAACATATTTAAAACAATACAAAAACTAGATTACAAGTATAAGATTAAAAACAATTACAGTACACTGTTTACAAATTAAGAAAATACAAAATCTATTAAAATTAATTTAAAAACAACATCCAACCCTTTTAAAAAACCTTCAAAACAACACTAACTGTCATCAGTTTGTAAATATCTGAAGGAACAGAAATGTTTTGACTTGCTGCCAAAAGGAAAAAAGAACGGAACCATCCTGGTCTCTCCAGGGAAGAGGTTCCAAAGACTGGGAGAAGACACCAACAAGGCTCCCCTCCTTTGTTTCCACCAAACAAGCCTTAGAATGGTGGCCCTCAACCTGTGGGTTCCCAGATATGTTCATGTCTTGCAGTCCTTAAATTAGAGAGAGCTCTGTTGGGGGTTTAGATCAAGCAATGTAGCTATTCATGGAAGGAACTCCTGACTCGTTCCTAATTCAAGCCTTAGTTGAAGACCCAAGATTTATGCTCATGTTTTGCTCCCTGTTACCTTTGGATTCCTGCTCATGTTCTGCTCCTTGTTTCCTGGATATATATGCCTAATCACACTAGAGTAAAAAATAAATAAATCTAAAATCAGGTTTCTGTTTCCTGCAGAATTCTGGGGTTTGTAGTTTAGAGAGGAACCTTTAACAGCCTCACTAAACTACACACCCCAGAATTCTGCAGATGGCAGAAACCGCATTTTAGGTGGATTTTTTTCTCTAGTGTGATGTTTTAATCTTGCTTCCTAGATTTATTCTCATATTTGGACACTGTTGACTCCTATTCTCTGAAGCAGTTTGAGCTGTTTGGATTATTGCCTTTGTGACTTGTTTCCTTTATTAACCCATTGGATTTTTATCCTTCCTTGTGCTTATGATGTTTCTCCCTTTTTATATGTGTTTTTATCAAAAATCTTTTTATTATCATACGTGGCTACCTGGTGAGTGCTGTGAGCATGATGAACTCCTGTTGAGGTGCCCTCCAGACAACCTGGACCCAAAGCCCTATATAGGTAAAATCCAGCACTTTCAACTGCGCTCAGAAACAGATGAGCATCCAAGTTGTGTGCTTCTTGTAGTTAAACCCAGCTAACAACCTGGCAGCAGTTCTTGGGACAACCGAAGCTTTCTGAGCACTTTTCAAAGGAAGCTCAACGCAGAACACATTACAGTAATCCAAATGGGATGTAATTAAGCCATGTACCACTCTGGTCAGATTCAATTTATCCAGGAATGGAAAAGATTACACAAGATTAAAAACAGTGGACAAAATTGATATACTTGCTTGAGAAAAAAGAGAGGGAAGGAATGAACCGCAAAGTACACAACTGATTATTAGGATGGTTTATATATATTTATCCCATATTTAATTTGACAACAGGATTATGAAGCTGCATTAGAAAAAAGAAATGTATAGCACATGCTGATTCTTAATTTACTCAAAGTAACTGTACTTGCATTTTTCAAATATATGATGAAAGAACTCTGTGTTCCTTGTGTATTTACTACAATACATGCCCAGTTTTCTGTAAACGTAATGTTCCCCCGGTGCAAATTATTACTAGTAACATATAGTGAGAAACAGTCCCAGTTTTCTATTAATGAAACTAGATTCAAAATAGATGCATCGAGGATCTGAGGAGTATGTGAACAAGAACACTAGTCTGGTGAACTTACGAAAATCAGGTCTTCATTCCGGATTTTGTGGAAGACCATCTGGTTGATATTATTGTGCCTCTGCAGAGTGGGTGATGTGGGCACATCGGAAGCTGCATTGCTTCTCAAGATTAGTAAGTTTGACTTATCTGTAAGAAGAAAAGAGAGTGCTAGTTCATATATGGACATAATTCACATATCAACTGTCAGCCAAATGTGTGAATTATCTCTAATGAAATTGAATGAAGTGACGCAGATAATGTCATAATAACATCTGTGATGATTCATTCATATATGTAAATGAACTGGAAAATGATATGCATGTGCAAACTAATAGGCCTACATCTGCTGTGTCAAATGGGCCAGATATAGTATTCTATTTCACATTTGTCAACAACAAAGGCTTCTGGTTTGGGAATAACAAGTGAATTTTTTCACTCATCTTTGAAGTTTCCTAAAACAGTCAATTGGTTGTGTATTAAGAAATAAAATAAGGTCAAAATAACAACAAAAAATAACACAACATATCAGCAACACATAAGTCCTTTTTACCTTTTGGTTTTGGAGGGCAGCATCTGGTAAACTGGAAAATTATACTATCCGACCGGACAGTTTCTGTCTGATAGCAATTCAAAAGATCCACAAGGTTTGTAAAACTTCTTCGTGTCCCAGTGAGATTATATTCTCCATTCTCATTTTTTGTTATCAAGCAGTGCTTATAATCAGCCATGCTATCTTGCTAGAGAATCAGAAGGAAGAGAACAATGCATTATTTTAAATTAATGTTTCTGTTTACTCTCCTTAAGTTCAATCAGGACTCAGCTAACCTCTGGCAAGATCAAGTATCTGAATTACTCCTCTCAGGTAACCAAAACAATACAAAAGACCTCAGAGAGGAGGTAATGTTTTGTTTTGACACAGAAAGCTCAACTCTTGAATAGCCCTAATTGCTAATGCTTTGGGTCTCATATTGGGAGAAAGGCACAATATAAATAGAACGAACCAATTAATGAATGAATAGCATTGCTCAAAATGTTAGTGAAGTGGAACAGCCACACACACTAAAAATGCGGTGAATAAACATGACATCAGGAAGGACAGTGCTCAAATTTGTAAACTGAAATCCTGTGATCAAGGTATTTTTAAAATGTTCAGAAATGTGGACATGATTCCGCACTGAAGAAAACAATCTTATAAGAAACAATACTCTGAGTAACTTTCATGACTGACTACTTTCCAATACAAGTTTAGTCAAATAAATTAACTGCACAGATATTAATATTTTTTATGGAGACAGCTGGTTTATTTAATTTCTGGGAGGACCTATAAAAACTGTTAAGAACTTATAAATAAAGCTTTGGTTTAATATGTGGACTACAAATCTGAAGAAGCTCAAATACTAAGTGAACAAAAGACCACTAGGGAATCTGTACCACTTCAAAAAGATTTACTCTGTTGTTGATGCCAAGCAGATCTGTGCCTTGGAGTGCTTCTACACTGACACATTAAAGCAATTTGATTGACACCATTTTAATGGCCATGGTTCCACACTATGGAATCATGGGGAACTCTAGTTTTACAAGGTCTTTTAGCTTTGCTGCCAATGAGGGCTGGTGTATCACCAAACTAAAAACTCACATGAATCCATGGCATTGAGCATGGTAATTAAGGTGGTGTCAAACTGGATTAATTCTACAATGTAGATGCAGCTTTGGATGGGACGTGATATCAGCTGTCAACAGGCATATTTCCAGGTAGGGCTAGGAATGACTCCTTGGCTGCCAATGACAACTAAATATCTGAAACCCTACAGTTTAAATTATAAGCAATTTTCATACCAGAAAACATTATATTCTGACTGTAAGATCAGTGATTCCCAACCTTTGATCCTCCTGTTGTTTTAGACTCCAACTCCCAGATATCCTAGCCAGCTTACCAGCTCTTATGAATTCTGGGAGCTAAAGTTACATGATCAGCGTTTCTCAATCTGGGGGTGGGGACCCCTGGGGGGTTGCGAAGGGATGTCAGAAGGGTTGCCAAAGACCATCGGAAAACACAGCATTTTCTGTTGGTATCTGGGGTTCTGTATTGGAAGTTTGGCCCAATTCTATTATTGGTGAGGTTCAGAATGGTCTTTGATTGTAGGTGAACTATAAATCCCAGCACCTACAACTCCCAAATGTCAAGTCTATTTTCCCCAAACTCCACTAGTGTTCACATTTGGGCATACTGAGTATCAGTGACAAGTTTAGTCCAGATCTATCATTGAGTCCACAGTGCTCTCTGGATATAGGTGAACTACAACTTCAAGGTCAATGCCCACCAAACCCTTCCAGTATTTTCTGTTGGTCATGGGAGTTCTGTGTGGGAAGTTTGGTTCAATTCCATCATTGATAGAGTACAGAATTCTCTTAGATTATAGGTTAACTATAAATCCCAGCAACTACAACTCCCAAATGACAAAATCAATCCCCCCAACAACACCACCAGTTTTCAAATTTGGGCATATCGGGTATTTGTGCCAAATTTGTTCCAGTGAATGAAAATACATCCTGCATATCAGATATTTACATTATGATTCATAATAGTAGCAAAATTACAGTTATGAAATAGCAAGGAAAATAATTTTATGGTTGGGGGTCACCACAACATGAGGAACTGTTTTAAGGGGTCGCAGCTGTTTTAAGGAACTGTTTTAAGGGGTGTTTTAAGGTTGAGAATCACTGGGTTAGATGAACCAATGTAAGAATGTTTCCTGTCACCCAGGAAATGCAAAGGTGAAGGAAGGGGCACCCTGGCTCCATGCATCCACCAGAAAAGGAGAAGCTGAAAGAAGCTTGCTTTGGCCTCCCTGCCATAAAGATCCCTTTCAAGAACTCTGACACTAAGAAATAATGCCCAAGTTCACCTATTTGCATCCCTCTCTGTGTCCCTTCTCTTTGTGAGTTAGATGGTAAATAAGTCTCTGCACTGGGATGGGTTTAGAATAATAAAATGTCAAAATTCACTCCAAATAAATATATAAATGCTACTAAAATGTTAAGATGCTCTGGATGTGAAATATGCAAGAACATGATAGTTTAGAAGACCCCTACAATCCAGGGGAAACTGGGTTTTGGCATTTTTGCTCATTGTAATTGAGCATTCTGATCATCAGCACTTACCTGGACTGCAAAGGTAAGGAAGTACTTATTAAACTCCTTTGGGCTGCAACGAAGAACATAATAACCGGGCTGATTGCCAGCTTTCTTCAGTTTATTGATTGCGAAGTCCATGCTGTTTTAGAAATATATTTGGGAGTGGGGAGGAAGGTAATGATTAATAAGCTTCAGTTGCAGACCACTCCTAAGGATTAACTAGATTTTAATGCCACATGAAGGCTTTTAAAGACGAAATAAATTGTGACTACACTCTTAAAAAAAACCACTTCTAAATTACAGCAGATATACACCTTCCACATCCTCTTTTTGGCAGTAAGTACATGTTCTTCTGTTCCTGTTCCATAGAAATATTTTTGCTTTCTCATTTCAAGAAAAAGGGAAACTTCAAGTTAAGAGAACAAGAAATCTGTTTCCACTTTGAGGAAGTGATTGTTCTTGGTGGAAGGCAATGCAGAATCGTGACTTCCACACAGCTGAATAACATCCCACATTATCTGCTTTGAACTGGAATATATGGCAGTGTGGACTCAAATAACCCAGTTCAAAGCAATTAATGTGAGGTTTTCTGCCTTGATGTTCTGGGTTATACGGCTGTGTGGAAGGGCCCCCAATTAGTTGAAAGAAACTTCTTGCTCTCCCATTTCAAGCCTGGCTAGAGGAGAAGTCCTTGATCCCTAGCACTACTGATTACTGAAATCATTATGGTAACTCGTGAAATGTATGAGAACTTAGCAAAAGAAACAAGGATCATCATAATATCTTTAACTTTCAATTTGCTTGAACCCAAGGGGCCATGGAAACCCACTAAGTGAGTCTATGGGCCCTTCCACACAGCCGTATAATCTAGAATATCAAGGCAGATAATCCACAATATCTGTTTTGAACTGGGTAATCTGAGTCCACACTGCCATATAATGCAGTTGAAAGCAGATAATATGGGATTTTATTCAGTGGTGTGGAAGGGCCACACACTCTCAATCCCACAACACTCTGTGATAGATTCACTTGAGGGTTGTTAAAAGTTAGAAAAACTTAAAAGACACACAACAACAAAATGAAGGGCAGCCTACATCACACACTCAATTATACTGACAGATGCCCCTTCGACATAGCCTGAGAAGTGAAACAGACCTATCTCAAAACGTTTCCTTTCTTCTCAAGAAGGAAGCTTTACTTTTCCAAATGGACAAGAAGAATGTTGTCATTAAGGCTGTGGTTTTATGGTTAATGCTTAAACTTTCTTACAAAAAAGAACAACTTGAAAGGCAAGGTTCAGATGTCCAGATGTCTAAAGGGCCAGGCTAGCACAGCCGGTTAAACCGCCTGCTACAGAAGATCCTGCCACCCAGAAGGTTGGCAGTTCAAGCCTGTGTTGGGGTGAGCTCCCGCTGTCAGCCCAGCTTCTGCTCACCTAACAGTTCAAAAACAGCAATGTAAGTAGATAAATAGGTACCGCTTTGGCGGGGAGGTAAAAGCGCCCTGAAAAGACATGCTGGCAAAAATCCAACCAGGAAAGGAGGACAGACTCCTTGGCATGGAAAATGAAACAACAGCACCTCCCCATGGCCAAGTCGAGCACAGCCAGATGGAGATGAAAAGAGGGAAGCCTTGCCTCTGTTTGTGTACTGTCTGTCTCTGTCAGTTGTATAACAAAATTGAATGTTTGCCATATATGTACCTGTAATCCGCTCTGAGTCTTTTTGGGGAGACAGCGTGGAATATGAATAAATTATATTGTTACTTTTAGAAGCCTTCGTATTTGCTCATTTCCACTTTCTCTCTCTGCATCTTGCAAATGTTTTTTCCAACTAGTACCACATTAGATGCATAAGCCATGATTTCTTTAACTATAATGTTTGCTGTCCTAAATATGATCCTGATAGGGCTGGGCATGTTGCTGAAGACCTGTTTCTGTTGGGGATCAGTGAAGTGAAGATTAGGGTATTCACACTCTTAGCTTTTGAGAAATGCTACTGAGATGGTGGTGCTGGTGCATGACCTAAATAGGAGCACTGGACCAATAATTTCTCATTGTCTAAATAATGAGATTGGGATTTTGACTTGCCAGTGCATTTAATGGGTCAGAGAGAAACTCGTAGAACTGGTGTGCCATGTGGTTGGAGAAAGTTAAAGAAATTAGAGACATGGACGAATTGACTTTTTTAATGAGAAGAAATACCGGGAAACCGCTAAAGAGAACAGACTGGACTTCTTTTTATGATTATGAAAAGAAAAGAAATTTAAAAAGAAAGATATTATAGGACAAGAATAGATAAGAGTAGAAGAAGTTGATGGAAAAGATCCTGATGCTGGAGTGGAAGTCATTTTAGAATAGCTTAGGTTAGGGTTTTTTTTTCTCTTTCTCCTACTTTCCTATCTTCTTTTTATTGTTCCCCCTCTTTCGTTGTCCTGTTTTATAAAACACTTAATAAAAATCATTTAAAAAAAAAAAAGAACTGGTGTGCCATGTTTTGTCACTGCCATTGCTACCATTTTCAGACTCGTCAGTGGGCTGCATCTTCTATGAGAAGTGTGCTCATACATGAACAATTCGGCCATCTTGAAAACAGGATGCCTCTCTATTTTACCAAGGCCTCTCTATTTTACCAAGGGAAGAGTAATATTATCCTTTATTGACTTCAGTTTAATGCACCATCAAATCAAAAGCTCACCTCATTTCCAAAACCGGCAAATGTAATGCACAGTGGCAAAAGTGGACTCTGTAATTCGGCCAAAAAAGGTGTGTATTACAGTTGCTTCCTACTTAGAATTCCTTCTTTAGAAACAAAACACCAACGCTGCCAGCAATGGAAAGGAAAACCTTGGGATGCATCTATGCTGTGGAATGAATCCACTTTAACTGTCCTTGCTCAATGTTATGAAATCATGTAGTTTTACAAGATACTGAGCTTTTTCTGTCAAAGAATGATGACCAACTACAAAGCCCAGTATTGCATAGCATTGAGCCATGGCCGTGAAATTTGAGGTGACACCCCTCAAATACAAGCCTCTGAGGTGGCTTCCCCTTTTGCTTTGGTTCAGCACTAAGATTACTGTATTATGTGAATCTAATGTGCAACCTGATTTTGGTCAAGTAATTTAGTCAAAAAAAGGTGAGCATTAAATTTGTGTAAATGCGGTATTACTCTGTGTATTTCAAGTCATCAGTGTTTGTCATAGAGCCAAAACAGAGGCATGAAGCAAATCTGATGTGCACCTTAATTTTGGTAAAGTAATTTAGCAAAAACAAGTTGAGAATTAGATTCAAGTAAATACTGTATGTTTGAAGTTGTCCATTCATTCATGACCCAAAGTGGGATGGGGAAAGTCTTTCTGTGTATAAGGGGTGTTTTTTCCCCTTCATTCTCTCAAAGTACTAAAACCGAGCCTTGTCCGTGTCCAATGACACAGAATGATTGAAGATGCCGAAAAGGTAAATGAAAGTATATCTTTATGCAGTAATGATGGAGGCTCCAGTGGCGCAATGTGTTAAACCCTTATGTCGGCAGGACTGAAGACCCACAGGTCGGAGGTTCAAATCCGGGGAGAGTGCAGATGAGCTCCATCTGTCAGCTCTGGCTCCCCATGCGGGGACATGAGAGAAGCCTCCCACAAGGATAGTAAAACATCAAAAAATGCAGGCATCCCCTGGGCAATGTCCTTGCAGACAGCCAATTCTCTCACACCAGAAGAGACTTGACATGAAAAAAATACAGTAAAGATATGACTTCCATCTATGGAAGGACACCAACTGGATACCACCCTGAAAAAAGGAGAAGGTTCCTTCTATTCCAAACCTTGCCTTTCAAGGCCCCAACTCCTTGTTTGGGGGGAGAGGAAGTAGAACAAGAAAAAAAAACAAGAAAAAGGAAGATTACAGAATAAAATGAAGAAGTCAAAAAGCAGAACTCAAAAGGATCTCCAAAGAGAAACTTCTGCAGAAGGACACGCAAAGCTGACAGGTGGGAAAGGATGAGAACCTTTGCCCCGTGAAGTCAGATATTATTTCTGCCTTCCATCAAAATGGTTTCCTATAGGTGAAGACTGCTCTTTGCCTTCTTCATAGAAAAAAACCCCTGATATAAACCATTTCCTGTACAACTCACACTTTGTTTTGCCACTTGTGGTTATCTTAACTGAAGTGTATTAACACACTTAGCTCTTCAGAAGAAGGAAACACTATATAATGTATGAAGAAACCTTCCACAGCTTGAAATCATTTTTTTCTCAAGTCTTTAGAGAAAAATTAACAAGAAGGGAACATTTGTGCAAAAAGCAATTTCCTTTGCTAGCAATTTTCTGTGTTCCCCACAATCATTCAAGTAACTGAGTCCCAAATTGCCTTTTCTGTCTCCTCAGCACTATACTCTATTTCTGCTTAGACCCCTTGGTGAACACATTAAGAATCCTCTGCCACTGACATCACAGATCGACACCATGGCTATGAATGTATCCTGAGATTTGTGATTGCCCATTCCTTGCATGGCACGTTCATAATCAAACTAAGAGGGAAAGAAAACCTGTTTAAAGCTAGAAATATGATCTGGGACTGAGTCAGAAAAGTATAAATCTGTTATAAGAGACAACCTCAACGAGGCCTTCCTATATATCTGCATCAAGGTTCCATAGGATTACTATAATGGGAAGAAAATGAGGAATGATTGTGCAGAATTCCTTATCCAGATTTCAAAAATCCAAAATTATGCACATAGATAGCTGTTGTATATTAGTCTGTGGTTGTGTCTGATGTTCATGATGGGAATGGGGATGATGATCCTGATGGTGGGCCTGGGTCTGCTGGCAATGGGGATGAGGGTTTGCTTGGGCCTAAGTTAAGCTTAGATGAAAGGCCCGAGCTGTCTCAGGAAGATTCACAAGGTCACATTCCTGGGAGAGTCTTTCTCAGAGCAACTGTCTGAAGATGATTTGTCAGGTGCAGAAGTTAACGAGAGTCAAGTTAATGAGAGCGTAGATAGAAATCAAGGCTTTTGTAAACAGCTACAAAGTGCTCAGGGGCAAAGAAGATCAGTTTGTTTACAGGAAAAGAGAGATAATAAATCTTTATCTGGTGGTAAGGTCAAGATAAATGCTTTGGGATCTGGAAAAGCCTTATATTGATTAATGGGGATGAGTTGCCTTTCATGGGTCAATGCTGTATTTTCATGCTTTCCAGTGTTCTTAGTTTAATATACCAAGTTTTTGCCAAGCTCCTGTTTTGTGTATTGGATTTTTCATGCTGCTTTGTTTCATGGATTCCTGTGACTGTTTCATGGATTTTTATACCTATGGATCTTGTTTTGCCTTGAAGCTCATGGACTAACCTTTGTTTTGGAACTTTACTGTTTTTGCTAATTTCACTGCTTTGCCTACTTTGATCCTTTAATAAACTGCTTGCTGATTCTACCAAGCAGGTGTGGTGTTTAAGGTCAGAGGTGTTCCTGCTCTAATGCGACAGTAGCTGAGATAGTGACACCTTTCCTTTCTGTAGTTTATTGTACACAAACTTTGTCTCATGCACAAAATAATTACAAATAAAATTACCTTCGGGATACGTATACAAAATGTATATAAAATACTAATGACACTGGCTAACAAAGATTTTGTTGCCTCAAATTTGCTTCTTCAATATAAATGCTTCTTAATTGCTTTTAATTTTTTGTATTTACTTTTGTTTTACATTTATTGGGTTTTGTCATGTTATTATAACATGCAGCATTATCACAGGATGTCTATGCTCAACGCCACTGGAGAAATTATACTGCTTAGCCAGTATTGCACCACCTGATATCTATTAGGAAGTAGCAGTCAAGAATGAGAGGACCAAGGCATTGATATCTCCGGCCCATCCTCTGTTCGGATATCAGACAGTATGCCAACAATTTAAATCAAGAAATAGCTTTCTAAGATCCACAGAGATACCCGTAGGAACACCTCAGCAAGCAAGAGTCCAAAAGTGGCAGAGTAAAATCTGGAACATCAATCAGTAGCTGATACCAGATGATAAACTCCCTCCTGGGCACACAGAAGACTGGGTGACTTGGAAAGTGCTGAACAGACTGTGTTCTGGCACCACAAAATGCAGGGCGAACCTTAAGAAATGGGGCTGCAAAGTGGAGTCCACGACATGCGAGTGTGGAGAAGAGCAAACAACAGACCACCAATTACAATGCAGTCTGGAGTCCTGCCACATGCACAATGGAGGATCTTCTTATAGCAACACCAGAGGCACTCCAAGTGGTCAAAGGAAATGTAGAATAATGCCAAGTTTTTGACTTTGTAGTTTTTTATACATTATAAGTGTATTCTTAATTTGCTTCTGACATGATAAATAAATAATGTTATTATAAGCCATCTTGAGCCCCCCCCCCCCTTTTTGGGAGAAAGACGGAGTAGAAATAAAGTGAATAATAATATTTTTTTTTCCAGAGTAAGAAAATTGCCTATCAAAAAAATGAAATGTTTCTCCCTGATATGAAGGCATTTCCCCTCAAAGTCTTATACAATATGACACTCACGAAACTGGCCCATGGCAGTTGCTCTGGATGCTCTCAAGAACTGAAGGAGGTGCCACTTCTTTACAGAGATAATGGTGGGCATCAGCCGTTAATCTGTAATACCCATCAATTAATGATACAAAAGAAAGAGCATCTTTTAATGAATGAAACTCAGCTTCCTGGAAAGACAAAAAGGGGAAGGGATAATATATTAAATTTTTGCAACATGTTTATAAAACTTGCTTGAATATCGTAACACCTAATACCTGACCATTTTATTCTGGCCCTCTTATTCTATGAACTGAAATAAGTTTTCAATGGACGACACCAGTGTTTCTCAACCTTCCTAATACTGCAACCTCTTAATGCAGTTCATCATGCTATGATGAACCCCACCAAAAATTATTTTTGTTGCTATTTCATAACTAATTTTGCTACTTTTATGAATCGTAATGTAAATATCTGATATCCAGGATGTATTTTCATTCACTGGACCAAATTTGGCACAAATACCCGATATGCCCAAATTTGAATACTGGTGGGGTTGGGAGGGGGATTTATTTTGTCATTTTGGAGTTGTAGTTGCTAGGATTTACAATTAAAGAGCATTCTGAACTCCACCAACGATGGAATTGAATCAAAGTTGGCACACAGAACTCCCATGACCAACAGCAAATATTGGAAGGGTTTGGTGGGCATTTAGCTTGAGTTTTTTACATCCAGAGAGCACTGTGGACTCAAACAATGATGGATCTGGACCAAACGTGGCACAAATACTCAATATGCCCAAATGGGAACACTGGTGGAGTTTGGGGGAATAGAATCATAGAATCAAAGAGTTGGAAGAGACCTCGTGGGCCATCCAGTCCAACCCCCTGCCAAGAAGCAGGAATATTGCATTCAAATCACCCTTGACAGATGGCCATCCAGCCTCTGTTTAAAAGCTTCCAAAGAAGGAGCCTCCACACACTCCGGGGCAGAGAGTTCCACTGCTGAACGGCTCTCACAGTCAGGAAGTTCTTCCTCATGTTCAGATGGAATCTCCTCTCTTGTAGTTTGAAGCCATTGTTCCGCGTCCTAGTCTCCTTGACATTTGAGAGTTGTAGTTGCTGGGATTTATAGATCACCTACAATTAAAGAGCATTCTGAATCCCACCAATGACAGAATTGGGCCAAACTTCCCACACAGAGCCCCCATGCCTTGAAGATACTCGCTGGTCTCCCTCCAGCTTCGTACAGTCCCCCTCACATGCACATACACCCCACGCTGCCATGCACTGAGCATGCCTGCTTTTCCCTCTCTGTTTGGAGTCCCAGCTCTCCCCTTGGCTGAGAGGTTGGCCAATCACAGCAGGAGGAGGGCTTTTGGTGGTTGGATTTGCTGTCTGTTTCCAAAAAGGAAGAGAAGGACAGGCAGAGAGATCTTCAGCCTTCTCAGCCAAAGGGGTTCCTAAGACCATCAGAAGTATATGTTTTCTGATGGCCTTTGGCACTCCCTATGAAACTCCCTCACGACCTCCAGGTTGAGAAACACTGGATTACATGATGGACATGGATTAGATTAGATTCTGATAGTGTATTTTGAGAATAGGTTTACTTCAAAAATATCTTTATGCCTAAGCAGTAGTATGCTGTGGATTTAGAAAGGCTTCAATATATTTGGCCATGGCTTCAAGTTACAGTAAGACAAGAATGACCTGGATCCAAACCATAGTGAGATAAATTACACTGCAAATTTTTGAATGGAACACACAGTACCAATCTAAGCCGGTGGTTGGGTTCTAGTATGCTTTTACATAATTGAACATAATTTATAGGATATTTCTTTGCAGCTTTGGTGAGCTCTAACAACTAAGAGACAACATGCAGATTCAGGACGTTGAATGTCTCATCTTCCCTCAGCTTTCCCTTTTTGGAACATCATTTTCAAAACCTTGAAGCCTACATATATTTTGTGCAACTACAGTTGGCCTAGGTCAGTGGTTCTCAACCTGTGGGTCGCCAGATGTTTTGGCCTTCAACTCCCAGCTGGGATTTCTGAGAGTTGTAGGCCAAAACACCTGGGGACCCACAGGTTGAGAACCACTGGCCTAGGTCATTATAGATGTGTACCAGATACTTTGCTGAGCTCAAGACACCTGCCCTCCCTACCTGAGTGCACACAGAACAAGAATGTAGGCAAAATTGTAGAGGTTTAAGATCTTCTGGGGAGGCCCTGCTCTCGGTCCCACTTCCTTCGCAGGTGCGGTTGGTGGGGACAGGAAACAGGGCCTTCTGAGTGGTGGCCCCTTGTCTGTGGAACTCCCTCCCCAATGAAATCAGATCAGCCCCTTCTCTCCTGACCTTCAGGGGAAAAAAAAATCTTAAGATGTGGTTTTGGGACCAAGCTTTTGAAAAGTAATTGGAGCAGTGCAATAAGTGACCACAAATCAATGTGATTCACAAATGGGACGGCCCTGGATTATGTTTCCAACAGCGCGATTTTAACTGATGTTTTAATAATTCATGTTTTAATTGTAATTTTTTATTTGATACATGTATGTATGGCATCAAATTGCTGCCTGTTGTAAGGCCGCCTTGAGTCCCCTCCGGGATGAGAAAGGTGGGATACAAATATGGCAAAATAAAATAAATAAATTGTAGTCACACAGTGAATAATAAATTAATAGTAAATCTGCATTCTGTCTCTATGGTTAGAAATCTCTGTAAAAACTGACCATGTAGGTTACCCAAATTTGATCATGGACTATATGAATATTACTGGCAAAAAGATTAATTTAATGAGCTGGTCATCTTAAACTATTCCATCCCTACAGGATATATGCACATGCTGCTGTCACTGAATATTGTGACTGCAGATTTATGGCATATCTAAGTCATAAAAATAATCCAGTTTAAACAAGCAAGGTAACCAAAATCGCAATGCCAACATACCAAATTCTTGCTGTCCTGCTTGTGAATGGTCACAATTCTATTCTCTCCAGAACCTTCCTGGGTTGCTTGCTTAATACTGACATCAATTATATCTGGGAAATCACAGTAGGTCTGTATGTCCTGCAAAAAAGATATTCAATTGTTAGTAAACTGTTTAGTCATGTGTGTTTTTGCCAAGATTGTGAAAGTCACCAAATCAAACCAATTGTAACATTAGCAACTTGGCTTGACTAAATAGGAAACTATGACCTTCTAATACAAAAACGAGTGACTGGCAACATTGTGCTTAAAGGCACCTGTCTCTTTTTCACTCTGGTTGGGTTCTAAACTTCTTTGAGTTATTATTATATTATCATATTTATTTATACCCCGCTCTGACTCCTCTTCAGGGGAGATAAAGCAGGGTATAAATATAATAATAATAATAATAATAATAATAATAATAATAATAATAATAAATACAACAGCAAGCAGAGTGATCTTGTCTGCTGTGGACTCATCTTGTTGTGTTTCAAATAATAATAATAATTTCTATATGACATTAGAACTCAGAAAACCGGTTGGCCTGAATCCATGGTTTGATTCTCTCTTCGTAGAAATAAGACAGTTTGAACTAATATGTCAAAGAAAATGAAAAGTTTATTCCCCTTGCTGGTTCTTCCCATGAGGAGAGGAGGGTAGGAATTATTATTATTATTATTATTATTATTATTATTATTATTATTAGATACATAACAAGATTAGTATACAGCAAACAAGATCACTCTGCTGGCTTCTGTATTTGATCACACATTGGACATTTCCCAAGTGTCTAGTTCTGTGTGATGTATCGGCAAATAATGCATGCAGAACCGAGTAGGGTGACCTTTTGCAGCAGACAGATTGTAATTTTGTCAGAACTGATTGTTTTTAAGTGCAGGCCAAGGTCTTTAGGCACTGCACCCAGTGTGCCGATCACCACTGGGACCACCTTGACTGGCTTGTGCCAGTCTTTGCGGTTCTATCTTTAAATCCTCGTATCATATAAGCCTTTCCAGTTACTTCTCATAAACTCTGCTGTCACCTGTGATGAAGATGATGATGATGATGATGATTATTATTATTATTATTATCCTCCCCAAAAAAAGGAACAGATAGAGCTTTTTTGCCATGGTAAAACCATATTTTTCTTTATGCCTAAACCGAGAAAGTAAAGAATTTCCCGCAAAGTGCAATGAAGGTACAGTTCTGTGTCGCTTCAGCAAATATCTCCAAAATGGCCACTTCTAAAGTTCTATCAGACTGCCGCAGCTAGATCCATACTGTTTTCTTCTGCAGCGATTTTTTAACCAATGCCAGCTTGAAGCTGGTGTAAGCAGAAGCAGAAATGGGAACTCTATGCCTGAGCCAAGAATGAATTTGCAGTCAAATGGACCCAAGATCACTATGCTCCTCCATCGAACAGCCCCATTTTCAGACTTATCATTGGAAGAAACAGTGCTTTCCATTGAGAGATTCAGACATGCTTGCTACTCCACAAGTGGGCAACTATGGCCTTCCACATGCTTTTTGGCTTACTACTACTCTTCTGAATCACTGTACCCAATGGTGAGGGATTATAGAAAATGCAATTTGCAACACTAAATATTACTCCTATTCTTTCATCTAGTATCAGTGCAAAAAAGAGCATTGGACTCTTCATTCCTTTGTTATTTCTGTAATATTAAAATAAGTAATCTTAAAAGCCTTGGCTGGAATCCTGATAAGTACTAGGCATGTCAGCATGGGTGCCAAGAAACAGCATGAATGTGGAGCTCCCTGCATCAGGGAACCTGCATTGCTCAGGTTGCAATGGAGAACTGAGGATGTATTAAACCTTTGAACAGCCTCCTATTCCTTTACCATTATACAGAACATACCTTTAAAGATCCTTTCTTACAAGGATTGGCCTTTGTCAGATCTACTTCCTAATTCCCTGCAGAATTATCCATTTCGAATTAGCCTGTTTACGTTCTAGCAACTCTGCTTCTATTGACAGCCTTTGCACTAATTAAAGAGAAAGGTTGTTATTAGAGATTACCTGTTCTGCCAGTGTTTCGCTCTCTTTATGTTTCCCTCTGGAGCACTGAATTCCACCATTTGCACTTATAATAATAGTTGCACAGCGTTCTTCGCCCGAAGGCTCTCTGCCAGGCTCCTTGACTTCAAATACTTCGGAGTAGAAGGCAGACTGGAGGGTTTCCAGATTTATGAGATACTTCAGTTTCAAGTTTCTGGCACTTGCATTGCACTGGCCAAACCTCTGAATGAATCTGCGGAACCTGTATCTTATTCTCTTGCGGGTCAGAATGTGATAATCCTGGATTTTCTCTCTGATGCACTTGGGCAAAAACATTTTATAGCTGTGAATACAAAATCCAAACATAAACAAAAGGAATGACTGTGGTGAGTTAATTTTAAACAGAAGTTGCAAAATGCATCACTAAGTATTCCCGAGTCCTAAAGTAATGCAACTTGAAAACATGCTGTTCAGAAATCAAGAGGCTAGTCCATGGTTGTTACACTTCAGTGTTGGCATTAAAAAATGTTGATTTGATGTCATCCAAACTAGACATGCAATAATAATGACACTGAACTGGCCTCAAGCTGTCAGGAATCTCAGATCTGAAAACATTCTGTCACTGATGAAATAAGAGGGAAAATTTCCTTAGATTTATCTGAAACCTGTGGAGCTGCAGTGGCGCAATAGGTTAGGCCAGGCACAGGCAAACTTTGGCCCTCCAGGTGTTTTGGACTTCAACTCCCACAATTCCTAATATCTGGTAGACTGTTAGGAATTGTAGAAGTTGAAGTCCAAAACACCTGGAGAGCCGAAGTTTGCCCATGCTTGGGTTAAACCCTTGTGCCAGTTGAACTGCTGACCTGAAAGCCAGCAGTTAGAATTCGCAAGACGGGATGAGCTTCCATCTGTCAGCTCCAGCTTCCCATGCACGGACATGAGAGAAGCCTCCCACAGGACGGGCAACGTCCTTGCAGACAGTCAATTCTCTCACACCAGAAGGGACTTGCAGTTTCTCAAGTCACTTCTGACACGATAAAAAAAATGAAACCTGACAACCAATATAGTGGAACAGACAAAATGTCACAGTTATTGTAGTGGCGATCAGAGCTGAAATGTCATGGATGTCCTTAGGGCTAATCAATATCTTTCAGATTCATCTAAAACAACATGTTCTTTGAAAGAATGGGTTGGGATGACATGCATTCAAAATATTAAGAGATGAACACAGTGGGAATTCCCTATTTCCTGCTTCTCTCTTTATCTCTTTATCACAGCACTCGTTTGAGGATTGTGCAGGGCATATGACATGGAAAATCTTGGGGTGGCAAAAAACTAAGACTTTCATTGCTTTGTGCAATTACACTTTTGGATATAATGCAATCTGAAATCACCATCATTTGTTAAAGATTGTTGAAATATTCCAGTATGGTTTATCTTCAAATTCATGTGTTTGCAGTTCTTATGACTGTGGAAAACACCGACAGAGGGATGTGTTCTTCAACAATTAGAAGAGCCTTTGTATGAAAAAGATGGGGACTGCTCTTTGTATAACTCCATGCCCCACCCTGCAACCCACCCATTGCTATTAGATCATCTTCTATTAGATGTGATTGTTTATCTTCTTATAGATTCCTCTATCTGGTGTCAATATCTAATGGATCAGATCAAATTTTATATCATGAACAAAATAAAAAATGGCCTTCTTACAGTATTCTTACATAATTGGTTTTTATTTGCACAGGAATTTTATATACAGTAGCTAAATGCCAGAAAAAACACATACCTAACAGAATTGTAAATGGATAGTGGGGTTTGGTCCTTTTCTTTGGCCATTCTCATTATATCCAGAACAGCCATGCCCAGACATTCTTCTTGTGTTTCATGAGTGACAGCCATTTTAACCCACCCATGGACAAAGTCTTCTCGCCACTGGATGCAAAAAGAAGTCAGAGAAGTCAGACTGAATATTGACATATATAATTGTTAATGTCAGCAAACTTCTGAGGGCTTTATCACACGAAGTCTTCAAAAAGAGTTGTGGCAATGCAAACCTATACTGGAGAGAGCTGGAGCACACTAAGATGGTCACTCCAGTGTTTGCTACAAGCACTTTCAATGAGCTGAAAGCACTTTTAGCTTATCACGGCAGCGCAGATGGCACTTCCCCCAACCTGTGCATTGACCCTTTTCGTCCATACCCCCTTTTGCCTCAGAAAAACTGTGCATTTTGCAGGCTTTCTCTATTTAGTGTATTCTGCAAGGGGGAAGTTGCCCTTCTCCTCAAACAGGGAGAAAGTGGAAGCAATGGCTTTGTAGCTGATCCGCTTTCGGTCTAAATACAAAGTGCTGGCTGCTACCTATAAACCTCTAAACAGTTTGGTTCCAGGCTAATTGCATCTCACTGAATAAACAATGCACTGCGGTCTACAGAGGAGATCCTCCTCTCAGTCCCATCCCCATCGGTTGGTGGGAATGAGAGAGGGGCCCTTCCCTGTGATCACTCTGTGTTTTTAGAACTCCCTCCCTAAGGAAATAAAAACGTCCCCTACCTTCCACTCCTTTAAGAAATTCACCTATGCACTTTAGCGTATGGAGAGGAGGAGGACTATGAATGCTAGCTAACACATTTGTATTATATGGCTGCTATGATACATCTTAAATGACGCACCGGTGTCAGCCATTTTTAGTGTACTGTTTCTTAATTTGCTTGTAGGGTGTATATTGTAATGTTTACTCATGTTTTAGTTCTTTATGTCTTCATGTTTTATTTTTATTTCAACGCTCAATTCCTTTGTTGTAAGTTTACTGTTGTAACTATCCGTTATCCTGTGTTATTTCGATGTATTTATATCCATTTTGAGGCATTGAGTGTTTGCCTTTTTATGCGTAAACAGCCTTGAGTCCCACTGGGTGCTGTTGTTGATATTATTATTATTATTATTATTATTATTATTATTATTATTATTATTATATCTACCTGCTTGTCAGAAGTGGAATGAAGAGCAGCTAATGAAATGAAGCCCACAACGTGCTCACAACACATGTATGTCCTAAATCCGCTGCACCAGCGCTTTTGACCTATCGTACCTCAACATACTTTGAAAGTGCTTTCTTTCTGCTGACTAAAAACAGGAGCCCCTATCTATTGAAAAGGACAGCCTGATAATGAGTTCAACTTGGTTCACATGATCATGAGATTATGGACAAAGGCGCTTCTAACATACACTACAGGTTTCATGTGATGATCTCCGGTGTCAACAAGAATCTATCTAGATCTCACAGTGCAATCAATAACTTTGGTGTTGGTCTCTGAACTGTGGCATTTCATTTTCTATTAGTCCCATTAAATTATCAACAAATAATCAAACACTTCAAATTCAGTATTTAGAAGGGAGGTAGGGGAGCAACAACCTACTAAGATCCAAAAAGACATCTTTTACCTGAGCAAACAAATAAGACATGATGATATCATCAAGCACAGGAGTCTCAGCGCCTCGGGTGACACCATAGCGATACGCCCGTGTACTGTCATTGCAATACCAGTGTGGGAAATAAAACCTGTTAGGAAAGATATATCATCATTGATTTATGTTTTTATATTTTATATGTCTCACAACCCCTGAGGATGCCTGCCATAGATGCAGGCGAAACGTCAGGAGAGGATGCTTCCAGAACATGGCCATACAGCCCGAAAAATCCTCAATAACCCAATGATTCTGGCCATGAGAGCTTTTGACAATACACTAGGCATGTTGTTGGGAATAGAAAGTCACTGGAACTCAGGGATGGAGGATCCTGGGGTTCATGACTACTTTGAAGGATATATGGCAGAAGAAATGGCACATGGCTAAAGGGAAAAAATCCCTAGGGAAACACAGCTGTGAAAAAGCCCTGGAGAAGAAAGAAGAAGTATCATGTTGCAGGCCTAAGGGAGATTTTTGTGTGCTTGGAGCTTTAAGCCAAAAACAATGTTAGTCATCCTCTTTCCAGCTGGAACTGTGTCTTTCCTTTCCTTTTGTCTGTTGGTAGAACTCCAACTTTCTTTGTTTTAAACAAGTTTTTGATAGGATTTATAGAAGTCTGTTTTTTTTTTGGGGGGGGGCAGTTAAATATTTTGTTCTGTGCTCCCAACACAAGAGAACTGATTTGCTGGTGCACTGGCTTAATGCTCTGTGGCTGATTGAGAGCTTTGGATGGGGGCAACACATCTCTTGGTCTGATTTATGGCAATGAAAGGAAAAGCCTGAAGGAGTTTTTCAAGAAATCTAAAGAAAAATAAATTACTTTTAATTTGTATTTGCCTGCTAAGATAACCAGTTAACTTTCTGGTGTTTCCACAGTAGCTGAAGATCCAGCTTTGTGCACTTTGGAGTTTAGAAACATCTAGATCTATATCTACATATATATCAGGGGCCTTCCTTGAGAAATCACACTGACTTTATCCTGTCTTTAATTTGGAGGAGGGAAAAGGCAGCATTGGGGAGGTGGCCCTCCTAAAGCCTGCAAAAGAGTTACCGTATATACTCGAGTATAAGCCAACCCGAATATAAGCCACGGCATCTAATTCTACCACGTAAAACTGAGAAAACATATTGACTCGAGTACAAGCCGAGGATGGAAAATGCAGCAGCTACTGGTAAATTTCAAAACAAAAATAGATAACAATAAAATTACATTAATTGAGACAATAGTAGGATAAATATTTTTGAATATTGACATAAAACTGTAATTTAAGTTAAGACTGTCCAACTCTGGTTAAACCATTATTCTAACCTTCTCCAATGTAAATGTGCTTATGTATCCTTCCAATAATAATAAAGAGAGTAAAATAATAAATATTATAATAATTAAAGTAAAATAATGGAAATGTAATAATATAGTAAAATAATGTAAACGTAACAACAATAATAAATAGAGAAAAATAATAAGTGTAATAATAATAATAATAATGATAATAATAATAGAGTAAAATAACGTAAACGTAATAATAATAATAATAAATAGAGTAAAACAATGAATGTAATAAAATAGTAATAACAACAGAGTAAAAAATACATAACTTTGACTCAGGTATAAGCCGAAGGGGGCTTTTTCAGCCTCAAAAAGGGCTGAAAAACTCGGCTTATACTTGAGAATATARAGTAATAGCAAGAAAGAAAGCAAGAGAAAGCTGGGGGGGGGGGGGGGAACCAAARGACATCTCTGTTTCTGCAAGCAACTGTTGGGAAGTAAATCAATATGAACTGCTACTTAGTGAGACCACACATTTGTAATTTGAATTGTATAGTCTGTCACAAATATGCAGTTTGTGTTCTTTCTTTGTAGACGAGGGGAAACTGAATAATCTGTACACTTGAGACTATAGTTCTGAATAAGATATCTGACAGAATATAGTAACTTGGGGAATGTTTACTGACTGCAGAAAGTAAAAGGTGGCAGGGTACAGAGATATTCTTTAAAAAGGAATATCAGGAGACTATTACAAGTATAGCAGATTACAATTGCAAGCAATGTTGTGACCATAAACAACTGGGTTGTTTTATATCTGGAATCTTTCATCTTTCGGTTGGGAACTACTGCAGATTCCTGGTAAACAAAAGGTTCACATGCGGAAATCATGTAAACAGAAGCATGTAAAGTTTTCCATTCTAGTAAGAAGAAAAGATTCAAAATATAAACCAACCCAGTTGTTTGCAGTCATAACATTGCTTGCTCTTTCAACAAATTTGTTTATAATCTGCTATACTTGTAATAGTATCCTGATAATGCTTTTCGAAGTAGATCTCTGTATCCAGCCTCCTTTTACTTTTTGCAGTCAGTAAACATTCCCCGAGTTACTATATTCTGTCAAGACCACGATACCCTACATGATTAGGGCACAGACTTTTGTTACAGAGCAATTGAATGCATACCTCTATCTATCTATCTATCTATCTATCTATCTATCTATCTATCTATCTATCTATCTCGCTGTACTGGTATTAACTCATACCTATGTTAGCGTGGAAGAATCAGTGTCCAGCTATAAAGATTGCACAGGAGAGACATAAAAGTTGAATTTAGAGAGTTGGGTTTTAGAGTCCTTGTTAGCTTCGTGGCCAAACACCAGAATCTGTCCAGTGTAGAGGAAAAGTCCATTTATGTCAGGGATCTTGTTTTGTGAACTGGAGGAGGGGGATTTTCCTCTCATTCAAAACTGCTTCCATGTTCTCAAACTTTGGAGGGGGGGGGGGTGCTCACAAACCTAGATTTTAAAAACATTCTCTATAACCCTTTCCTTCAATCTCTGGCGTACATCCCAGCTTCAGTGGCCCATATTGCCGGCAATGGAGAGTTTGACTGTTGGCCAGGGGGTAGATTGGGGACCAATTCGACCATTGGCTGTGAAGGTGTGCTGTGAAAAGGCCCCATCGACCAAAGGGAGGGAATGCTTTTCTGATGTATACAATCTGAAGCATCCTTTATCACCAATCAAGCTTAAAGCAATTAACATCTGTAAATATTCAGCAACACAAAAACTCTTAAGGTCATAAGTGAATGACACTTACCATGTTTCCCTGAAAATAAGACACTGTCCTATATTTATTTTTGCTCAAGAAGACACATGATGGCTTATTTTCAGGGGGTGCCTTATTTTTATTAAGTACAAGCCATCTGTTGCTGTGGCCCAGTCTGTGTATATGTGTTTTGTGTGTGTATATATGTATGTGTATATTTATATTTGCGTATATATATGTGGTTTTGCGCATGCATTGTAATGTGGTTTTTTTTTTTGGCTTTTTAAATCTCTTTTGTTGTGTTTTTCAGTGTTTCTATGAGTGATGATCACTCGTTGGCCTGATAAGTGTATTGTGTCCGAATTTGGTGTCAATTTGCCCAGTTATGTTTGAGTTACGTTAATCCCACAAACAAACATTACATTTTTATTTATATAGATGGTACAACAATCTGCATTTATTGAAATATAGTGCTAAATAAAACGGCAGCCAAAGCTTTACTTCTTCTCCCGAGGACTCACAATATCTAAAGCAGAGCTTCCTGCTCCTCACTTCACTGAGGAGACTTCACGTGGGACAGTGCAGCCCCATAGGAGCTGGTGACTCACTCCCTCTCTCACTCACTCACTCACTCACTCACTCGAGGAGGAAGCCTTGTGTTCCCTGGCCTGGCCCAAAGAGAAGAAAGAACAAAGGGAGAAGAAGAAAAAGGAGGAGGAGGAGGAGGAAGGCCCGAACCCGCCCCTGCCGCCATTGCGGAAAGCTCTTGAATTTCACTTTCTATGTCTCCCTCTATTCCTTAGCTTGTATCACTATGTCTTATTTTCAGGGAATGGCTTATATTGCACAAATGCTTAGAAATCCTGCCACGGCTTATTTTATGGGTATGTCTTATTTTCGGGGAAACACGGTAGTTCTGGAAGAAGACAGAAATTGCATTACTTTTATCTCGCAACCTGAAATTCACATGTTAAAATGTTTCACACCTACAAGGAAGTAAAGTTGTTCCCATTCTAATTGTACACCATAAGACCCCCCATACCTGCAGAAACCATATTCACAGTTCCCTTACCCATGCCACTAGAAGAGACTACAAAGGCATGCTGGAGGACTTAGCAAATGTCTATAAGGGTACTTCTCTAGGAATCTCTACATCCTCCAGCACAACTCTATGGGATGCTATAACTGGAAACAATACATTTTAATGGCATTCTGAATTATCTGCGCTTCTCAGAAAGAAACTGCAGTCCATCCGGAAAGATATAGAGGTCTTATGGTATTCATTCACAAAATAATTTTCAACATAAAACACAACATTTCATTTTCGTTTTGTTTAAATTTTATGGAAAGAGCATATATGTTTCTGTGTTTTTGTGAGCGGTTTTCCTACAACAATATACAAACACATTGTACACCTGTAACCACTTAGTATCAAATAATGGACAGTATCAATTTCCTAACAGTAATCTCCTTGGAAATACTGGGTTGTGGTAGGTTTTTTGGGATGTAAAGCCATGTTTTAGAAGCATTCTCTCCTGACGTTTTGCCTGCATTGGTGGTAGGCATCCTTAGAGGTTGTGAAGTCTTGGAAATAATCTCATGTGAAAAATCTAATCTCATTATGTGACATTGCAATAGGATTGCAAATAGATATTTACAAATAAGACTGCAGGTGAAACACTCCAATGTTACACATGCACACAGAGTTTGTGGAGACCAAAGAATTAAGTCATGTGAAAAGGATGGATGTAAAAGAAAATAAAAACAAGGGCCAATTCCATTATTCCTACTGTGAACTCCTCTAACAGTTGAATATCAATAAAAATGCAAGCAATAAAAAAACCCTGCTATAATTATATTCTAGTCCTCTAGATGTTTTAAAAAGTCATTAAAATGCAATTCTTTATACATATCAAAGCCCACCTTATTCGGTAGAGTACTGTCAGTGTGGCTGATCCCTCGATTTGGAAGGCGTGGTTTGGAGGATACCAGCATCGGTCTGCCTGGTTCATGAGTGCAAACATGTTGTGATACACCGGCAGGATACCTATCGGTGGAGGAAGGCATTTTAGTTGTAGGTTATTTCACACAAAACTACTTGCCAACTGTTGCTGAACTACAGAACCACAAAGCTTATTAACTTCTTCTACAATTATATATTAAAAGATTACTGTTGAAAAGTTGAAGAAAGCAATCAGTTACATTATACTGTGTGTTATTTATGGTGAAAGAAAGAAATACAAACTTTTTTCCACAGGGAGTAAACATTTTGATCTTAGTATTTTGATACAGAACAGAAGTTGCCTGACTCAATAGCAGTACGTGTGAAAAAGATCTTGGAGTCCTCGTGGACAAGTTAAACATAAGCCAACAGTGTCATGTGGCGGCAAAAAAGCCAATGGGATTTTGGGCTGCATAAATAGGAGTATAGTGTTTAGATCCAGGGAAGTCATGCTACCCCTCTATTCTGCCTCGGTCAGACCATACCTGGAATCATACTATGTCATATTCTGGGAACCGCAACTGAAAGGAGATGTTGACAAGCTGGAATGTGTCCAGATAACTCAAACTAAAATGATCAAGTGTCTGGAGAACAAGCTCTATGAAGAGCGGCTTAAAGAGCTGGGCATGTCCAGCCTGCAGAAGAGAAGGCTGAGAGAAGACATGATGGCCATGTATAATTATGTGAGGGGAAATCATAGGGAGAAGGGAGTAATCTTGTTTTCTGCTACCCTGGAGACTAGGACGGAGAACAATGGTTTTTTCCTACAGGAAAGGAGATTTCATCTGAACATTAGAAAAAACTTCCTAACTGTGAGAGCCGTTCAGCAGTGGAACTCTCTGCCCTGGGGATTGGTCTTTTGAGGCTCCTCCAGTGCAACCTCTGGCAGATATTGACCGTGCAGTAATGCTGGAGGATTTATACCAGGGGTGACCAACCTTTTGGCTTCACATTGGAAGAAGAATTGTCTTTGGGCCACACATAAAATGCACTAACAAGAGCTGATGAGCAAAAAAAAAAAAAAAAAAGGCAATTTTTTGTGATATCCACCACCACAGATAAGCAAAAAAAAAAAAAAAAGGTCTCACATAATAATCTTAATTATGCACCACCCTGTTTGAAAGGGCTTTTAAAGCCGCCGAGCATATTTTCAAGTTTCTAATTATAATGTGAATTACAGATAATACTCCAATATTTGTGGATGTAACATACTCTGATTATTCCATTCTGCTCTGTCGTCTACAAAATTTACTCTCAAGATCCATGCAATTGAGTTACACACACACACACAATCACTCCAAAAATATCATAATGTTTTAAGTAAATGTATGATTTTGTGATTGTCCATATTCATAGGCGTGCTGGGCTGCATGCAGCCTGTGGGCTATGGGTTGGACAAGCCAGATCTAAAGTTTCCTAGAGATAACACATTAATCAAATCCATGAATAAACACACTGGCAAAAGTTAAATCCACAAATGTGGAAGACCAACTATACACAAAGGAGTTCCCAGTGGTACAATGGGTTAAACCCTTGTGCCGGCAGGACTGCTGACCAAAAGGTTGGCGATTCAAATCCAGAGAGTGGGGTGAGCTCTCGTCTGTCAGCTCTAGCCTCCCATGCAGGGACATGAGAGAAGCCTCCCGCAGGACAGTCAAACATCCAGGTGTCCCCTGGGTAACATCCAATTCTCTCACACCAGAAGCAACTTGCAGTTTCTCAAGTTGCTACTGACACGAAAAAAAGTACACACACAAACAAAGACAATGCTTCATAATGCCCACAGAAAAACATTTAGTGCATATTGGGTTGTACAGACAGACAGCAACTCTTATTTATAATACCATTCTTTCCAGTTACTGCAACCATTAACTGGCCAACACACATTTTGCTGCCTCAAATGTTAGTCCTGTTGCAGGGTATATCTGACCTCTGATTCCAAAAATGGCACCAGTTTCCCCCTATCAGCGCTAGTTTTTGAGGTACAAAACATATGTCACATACCAGTCACCATCTGCCCATAGAAAATCATGATAACCATATCTATGAAACTAGGGTTGATGTGTTCTATCCAATGCAATTGACTGAATGAGTGCCTGAAATAAACCAGGAACAGGCCTAAAAGCCAAGACACCAAGAAAAAAAAATATTTTTGTGTTGGGCTGTGTTATGGTTGCATTAACTCTGCATATATATATATAGTTCGGTTCATGGCTCCCTCTTTCTCTCTGTTTTGCCTGCTTGAAGCAAAGGGCATGGATGTTGGAGGCAGAGAAATTATGGCTTACTCATAGGTAGAAAGAGCCACCTCTGTGATATAACATCATGACAAAGCAAGACTGGAGAATTCAAGGAAGAAAAAAGACTGCCTCTCATGGGGTTAAAGCACCAAATGTGCCTTTAAAAAAACAGATGCAAATGCTTTAAAGGAGAAGCACTCACTTGCTACATATTTACGTGCTGAGCAAAAAGGTGATTCAGTTGCGAGTCACTTTGGATATCAGCAGAGGGATCCAGAGGGAGGAGGCTTTCAAAAAGGATCCTTTCTTGTATCTCCAGAAGAATGGCAGAATTTGCTGACATTCCCTGGACTGGAATGCAGCTTGAAAACAGTAACTCAGCAGATGATTTGCAAGTCATGGAAAGTCACAGCCTATAAAACTTTTTATGTGAAATGAAAACATATTTCTTTCATATAAAAACACCCTGAAATGAGAACTAAGCAGCTCTCCGTCTTTTATGAATAGCCAAGACGTCAAGAGGAATTTCCTTAATTTTTGGTAGGACAACTAACAGACCCAACTATGCTTCCAAATGAATGAACCCAATTATGTTGGATGTGGTTTGTCCATCTTATATACAAAGTACTGTATAGCTACTGTAAATAACACTGTAAAATACATTCAAGAATGCATGTTATGACTGCTGTGGGAAACACTGGCATTTCTATTATTTACTATTACTTGTTTAAAAAGTGGAAATAAAAATTTGTTTCAGGCATTTATAAACCACTATGCACATGATTCATTCTTTATATATTTATATATTTAATACACATTCTAAAATGCTTTTTCCAATGGTGTAAATAACATTCTCATGAACCTCAAGCACCCTACAATAAATATTTAGATAAACATATCTAAAATGGGGTGTATCTTAGAATCAAGGGTGCTCTCTCTACACACACACACACACACACACACACACATTGAAATTAGTGTGCATCTTACAGTTAAAAAATCAGAATTAAAAAAACAAGCACAGAATGCAAGAGACAGAACTGTTTCTATTACAAATTGGCTGATTGGTACTTCTTAAGATTCAATCATTCTTTTGAAACTTGTTCAGTAGTTATATAGAATCATGGAGTTGGAAAAGAGGCCAAGGGCCATCCTTTCCAATCCCCTACTATGAAGGAACACACAATCAAAGCACTCTTGACAGATGGCCACCCAGTCTCTGCTTATACATCTTCAGAGAAGGAAAGCAGCAGCATATTCCACTGTCTAACAGCTCATGCCATCAAGATATTTTTCCTTAATGTTTAGATGAAATCTTTATTTCCATACTTTGGCCTTGGTTTTATTAACATAGGCTTGCATTTCTCACCTCCTCACCAAAACCCTTGATTAACACGAAACGACTATCTAGCCAATCCTTGTCTTTTTTATTTCCACCAAGTGGCAATATATGAACTACACGGTAGAATTAATGTACTTTTGATGCCCCTTTAACTGATATGACTCAATGTCATGAAATCAATGGAGTTGTATACAAAAGCTGACTGGCACAACCTGGGATCACAACCAGACTCACTGAAGACATTAGCCCTTGCGCTTTGCTACTCTGCTGCTCAACATGCATGCCCAGTGTGGAATACATCTTACCATACTAAAACAGTAGACATGACTCTTAATGGGACATGCCACATTACCACAGGATGTCTACGCCCTACACCACTGGAGAAATTATACTGTTTAGCCAGTATTGCACCACCTGACATCTGCCGGGAAGTAGCTGCTAATAATGAAAAGACTAAGGTGTGACATCTTCAGCCCATCCTCTGTTTGGATATCAGCCAGCAAGCCAATCAAGAAACAGCTTTCTAAGATCGATAGAGATACTCGCAGGAACACCTCAGCAAGAAGAGTCCAAAAGTGGAAGGCTAAAACCTGGAATCTCAATCTGTGGCTGATACTGGATGAGAAACTCCCCCCTGGGCACACAGAACACTGGGCGACTTGGAAGGTGCAGAACAGACTGCACTCTGGCACCATGAGGTGCAGAGCCAATCTTAAGAAATGGGGCTACAAAGTGGAGTCCATGACATGCGCATGCAGAGAAGAGCAAACCACTGACCACTTACTACAATGCAGTTGGAGTCCTGCCACATGCACAATGGAGGACCTTCTCACAGTGACACCATAAGCACTCCAAGTGGTCAGCTTCTGGTCAAAGAAAATCTAGTATAATGCCAAGTTTTTGTGTTTTTCAAAAAACATTATAACTGTACCCTCAATTTGCTTCTGAAACAATAAATAAATAAATGGAGTTGTAGTCTGGCAAGGCACCAGGGCTATTTGGCAGAGAAGGCTAAAGACTTTCTAAAACTACAACTCCCAGGTTTTGATAGCATTGAGCTATGCGAGTTAAAGTGGCATCAAACTGCATTGGTTCTGCAGTGCAGATGCACCCGGAAGCTTTAACGGCCAGAACAACTATTTTCGATCTCATTCGGAGCCAATTTTGCTCTGAGAAAAGGGTGTTAAGATGTTCAGGTGTACACAAATAGAAAAAATCTCATCTCAGGCAGTATTCTGTGCAAACCTTGCATCTTATGGAGGGACTTGTAAAAGCACCACTATCCTTGTTGTGTGCAGGATTCCTATGCTAGTTGTATTTGGAACATAATTCTCACTTATATTGGTTATCATGATCCATGAATAGGAGCGATGGAAATTGTATTCTGCAATATCTTGAGGACAATCTGTGGTTGAAGACTGCTATACAGCATGGAGACACACACTAAAAAATTCTTTTCACAC